TCTGCCGTGGCACCTCACCAGGCCCAAGGCGAACACCTCCCTGGTGCACTGTAAAACGAGCAGGCAACGGCAGGTCTTGCTCAGTTCAGGTTTTCCACAAGAAAGCGGAAGCCAGCAAACATCTGAAAGTCATCTCACTAATCTGCGTACAATGTGTTTGGCAGAAGAAAAAAGCCTCTCGTCTCAACTTCGGTGCTTCCAGACTCACTCACCATCACCCTGCCGAATATAAGCTTGAACTTTTACGTCCAAAGCTAAACACACCGCCCTGGCCAGCGTGGGTGTTGGTTGGAGTGTCGTTTCGATTCCCGGTCAGGGTACATGCCTAGGTTGTGGGTCTGATCCCTGATGGGGCACATACTGGAGGCAACTAATTGGTATTTATTTCTCTCTCTCCCCACCCCCCCTCTAAAATCAATAAAACATATCCTTGGGTGAGGATTAAAAAGATAAACATAAAAACTAAATTCATTATCTTCCTTCTCAAATCTGCTCCCTCACCTATATTCCCTCGTCTCAGAAACAAAGCATTATGATCCACACAGCTGTCCACGCAGAAGCTTCAGAAATGTCTATTAATTGCCTCTTCTCTTACCACATCTATTGTCACTACTGGATTCTGGGCAGGGGTTTGTTCTTAGCACCCCGACCCTGAGCCTAATGGGAGCCTCACACACCTGCTCCACAATGAACGGGTCAATGTGAAGCCCAAATGCCCCTCCTGTCACCTCTCATCCCCTCTACGAGCCTCTCTAGGCTTGTTCAGAAGCTTCCTAACCGCCTCCAGGCCTTCCCCTCCTAATTCTCCACCTGCGCCACTGTTCTTTCGAAAGCACAGTTCTGCGATGTCCTTGTCTTAAACCTTCCGGAGCCCCCTCTGCCGAAGTCCTGCCAAAGTCCTCCCGAAGTACTCAGCAAGCGTTCTAGCCCTTCCTGCTGGCCCTGCCCACTTCTCACGGTTTCATCGTGTGCGGCTTCATTCGCTGGTGTTTGACCTTTGTTCATCCTGTTCCTTCTGCAGAAAACGAACCTAACTACCCTCGTCTGTGCCCCACAAGGGACTTTATTTCGACTGTGTCACCCTTAGCTGCTCCTGCTTGTCCTCCCCACCCAGCCCTCCCCATCCTAGACCCGGGGCCCTTCACGAGGGACTCCTGCTGTGTGCATCCCTACACCCAGGCCTGTAGGGTGCACGGCACTTCGCCGGTGTCCAGGTGACTTGAGTTTAAAAAGATGCCCAGGTTAACTGTAAAAAGCCCTAGAAGATTAAAAACAAACAATAAAACACTTCCCAGGTGGACTATGTGCTCAGTAACCCATGGACGTAGTAACAATATACTAAAGCACCATATGCTAAGTTCATGTGCTCTCAGAAGCATCCATGAGACTCGACGCAATGGGAGAGTGACGCCCCTCATTAAAACAGCTACAGCAGTAGCAGGAGCACTGTGTGTTGAGCACCTGATGCATCACTGCGTGCTAAGCAAGCTCCGGAGGTTATTTACTGCGCCCTTCACGGCAGGCCTATAAACCACGCACTACTGTTATCCCTGTTTTAGTCACAGGAAAACAAAACCACAAGACTCCGAGGCAGGGAACGTTAAGACACTCGCGAGGGGCCACTCGGCTGGTGCGGGAAGCCGGGACTCACGTCCAGGCTTTCTGACTGTACGGCCTTACCTGACACCTTTTCTCCAATGACAGGTGCGGCAGAAGACTAAGAAGTGTCAAGGCCTGCTACTTTAGGGACCAAGACCCTGAGGTCAACAGCACCGGAGAGAGCAAAGGCAGAGACAAAAAAGAGAGATTCGTCACGGTGGCGGCGTGACTCCGACAGCCGGAGAGCCACGCCCACCGTCACTGGCCGTGAGACTGCGCAGGCGCACGCAGCCGTGAGAGGGGCGCAAATGCTGCCGGCGCCTGCGCAGTCTCCTTCTCCAGTGGGCCGGCACTCCGGATCCGTCTCCCGGACAATTCCATCTCTCGGCAGGAAGGCAACAAGGATGGGCAGACACGAGGAACTCACTGTATCCAGCAGAGACGCCGCGGATTAAACATGTAAAGAGAACCCGAGAGACACCAATTGGGACTTATTTCCCTGTAGGGTGTCAGGCTGAAAACCAGAAAGAATAAAGAGGCAGAGGTATTTCTCCCTCACACGTATGCTCCCCTCACCACCTGCATATTCTACTCCCCGTGGGATTCAGACACACCCCGCATAGGGGGCTGGTAGGTTAGCAGTGGGGGTTCGAACACCGGGGGCCACCACCAACCAGGGGGGGGGGAGGGGGGGTGCAGGAACCAGGCAGTGGGCAGAAAGCAAAATGCAAACTTCACATACCCAAGTTCAAGCTCAAGGTTGCCTCTTGTAAGCTGTAAGACTGTAATATGCTGCTCAACCTCTATTTAGGGAAATGGGGTCTCCCACCTTCTCCTTCGGGTCGAAGTGAAATGAGACGAGGACAGAAAGCACGCAACTCGGTGCCTGGCACCTGGCGTCAGCCATTCATGGCGATTCTGATATTTCTCTACGACTCCTCACCTGTGAGCATCTGGCAGTTTCAGCTTGTCTGCTGCTCCCACCCACCTCCAACCCTGTCGGAAGTAAAGTGACCCCGCCCTCATCTCCATGTGCAAAGCTCAGTTCCCTCCAGCTGAGCAACAAGCGTTCCGAACGCCCTGAAATCCCTGTGCTAGGCTGAGCTGGACGGGGGCAAAGGGTCACTTGAGGCAGAGGCACCCTGCCTTACAGAACTGCATGACCTCTGGGGAGCAAAGAGAAATGGCACTGATTTCTCCTGAGCTGCAGAGGCTCGTCTATCAGCTGGTGGGCGATGACGAGGAACCCCCAAACAGCCACAGAAACGTGTCTCTGGTGTTTTTGGACATCTGTGGATTAACTGTCCGGTGGTATGTAAGAAATGGATGACTGGCTGGAAACACTGTGTTGGCAGCGAACAGTGGATCTCATGTGGGTTGGTCTTTAAACTCGGTCTCTCTGGGTTGTGTACACATATTAATGGGAGAAAGAAAAAGAGGGTAGAAAAAACCCCAGAGGTGAGTGAAGTGTCTAAGCATGAGATGCCAAGACGCCAAGGTGGGGAATAGCCATGACAGATTACCTGCTCACCTCCAGGACACCAAGTGCCACTAGCTGAAGGTGAATGAGCACAGCAAGCCTGGCCTGGAGATAATGGAAAGGTTTTATCCCCCCAAATGAAAAGAGCTGTATTTTTTCTTATTAAAAAGTAATACACTTTAAATGCTTAAAAAAAAATTAGGACATACAGAAGTGTACAGAAATAAGGAATATCACACACACACCCACCCCCATCCAGAGATCATCACATATGATGTTTCTTCTTAGAGACTTTTCTAAGCAAAGAATGATATGAATTGCAACTTCTTTTTTCAAAACCGAGGTACCACCACACACGCTGTTTGATGCTGTTTCTCCTACTTTTCTATGTGTCATACTCCTCCACGTACCACGGAATTTCACATCAGAGTCCCAGGGCAGATGTCTGCAGGTACACCCCTGACACAGTAAGGGGAAGGGGAATGCAGACACAACACACAGACCAGAAGGTCCCGTCTAGCACTGCGGTCAGGCTCCACGTCTCCTCAGGCCTAGACCAGGCTGGGAGCAGCGAATGGAGCTGCCTGGGGGAGGGCAGCCTGGGCTCCCACAGCCCGATGGGTGTGGGTCACGGGCCCGCAGTGGTGCCAGGCACATCTGAGGCCCTGCGCTCAGCACCCGACCACAGCTCTGCCCCAGCCTCAGAGCCCTTCAGGTGGTCTCCAGGGGGAGCCTGGAGAAGAGCCCCTTGGCTCACAAGGACCCTGACCCTGTACCCCAGACTCAGAATTCCTTTCAGATGATCAGTAGCGTCCACAGCATAGCATGTGAACTCTGGACCTGTTCAGCCCAGCACGACCTAAGCTGCAGGGAGCGGGAGCAGCGCGCTCAGGCGGAGGGGAGAGGGCGTGCAGCCCAGGACGCAGGCACATAGGCTGGGCTGGAGCAAGCTGGAGCCCGGCCTGGACAGAACGAGCGACTTCTGCAGCCTGAACTGGACAGATGCTCAGCAGCAGCCAAGCTCTGACTGGCAGCAAACCGAGGCAGAGCTGCGGAGGACTGACACAGACCTGAAGTAAAGGGGGCACTGGAAAGCTGTTTGTTCATGTGATCCTTACTCGTAAGTTATCAGGACTCTGCAATTTCCAGAACCTTATAATAAAAGCGACTGTACACAACTCTCTGCATGGGCATGTGCACCAAGAGACCATGGGGAAAAATAAAAAAAGAACGTCAAACCTGAGGCTCTAACCTAGGGAGGCAATGTCAAAGCTGGTCAGGGGACTTCCCCGAGATCTGAATGAGACTAAGAGAACAGAGAACAGCGGCTTAGAAAGACAGAAGAACCAGAGCTCCTTGTCATCACTGGGAGATGAACTAATTCTGTTTTAGGTCTTTACTGCTAGTTCACAGACCAAAGATTGAAGCAGGCAGGATAGTCTTGAAGCCGTTTAGGTTAGAAAACAGCCGCTGCTCAGCAACCCCCTTCAATTCAGGCTAAAACTTAATCTAGTCTCCCACTGGGGGTCATGCCTCTGTCAAGACTTATCCAGTGTCTGTTCTATGCCAAGCACTGGTTAAAGTGCAGGTACACAAACAAAATACGGTCCTTGCCTCGAGTCTGCAGAGTAAACAGATAAGAATCAGTATCACAACAGTGAGAGAGATGCCTGACATACAGTGATGCTCGACAAATACCAAGGGGCTGAGTCGGGGTTTTCCCAAAGGACACTCATCCCTCTGCTGCAGCACAGATGAACCTGACAGGTCACTGCTTTGTATACATGTACACAGAAACCATCCCTAAAAGAATAAACCCTTAGTGAATGTCATTTTAGACAGGCACTACCAAGGTTGATGGCGCAAAAAGGAGAGCGGTGAGCAACAGGAGAAACAAGAAATATTATCACTCATTTTATACAAAAGAATATTTTAATTATTGTCCTTAGATACTATAAAGACTATACATGATTCGGAAATGAGACTGTACCAAACAGTGGTGGAAGAAGAATGGTCCACTCTACGCCTTCTCTTTTGTCTGGTCACTCAGAAATATAATGTTATCTGTAAAGAAGCCAGAGTATAAGTATTATTTTCAGAACTCTTTCTCCATCCCATTTAATCACTCCTCTCTAACACATACATACTTCAATGCTGTTAACTAAAAGGACTTTATACAAATTCTAATATTAAATAACTCTCGCTATGTTCTTGAGGTACATACAATAGGCACGATGGAGCTCAAAGCTGGGCTCGGGCTGTCTGTCAACAATTCAGACCTTGTTAGAAGAGGCGGGATACTTCTTGTCTTCCCTGAAGACAGCTGAGGTTCTCAGCAATGACTTTCTACCAAACAAACTAGCTGTGAACTCCGAAGCTTTCAATGCTCAGACACACGCCATTAAACCGGAAGCACGTTCTCACTCATCGATATTTCCATCTCTCTCTCTCCCTAACTTCTTCTCTCTCTAAAATCAATCAATCAATATTTTAAAAGAGACTTAAATTCTCAGACATCCAGCCTTCAGAACTGTTAACAAAATGAAATTCTGTTGTTTTAAAAAAAGAAATAAGAGACTTAAGACACATGTAAACTATGTAAGATAGTGTTTGGACTTGTATTTATGGAGCAAATAAGGAACTATAAACACTGTGATAACTGGCAAAAAAATATCTTAACAATAATTTCTTAACAGCACTGTAGTTATGCTCTAAAACAAGTCCATATCTTTCAGAAACACCTACTGAAATATGTATAGATGAAATAATATAATGTCTAACTCACGTCAAAATAACCCTGGTGGAGGAAAAGGCCGGAGCGCAGATGAAGTAAGATCAGCCATTAGCTGATAACTGTTGAAGCTAAATGACGGAATTTTGTTTTTTAGTTTTTGCTCCCTTTTCATGTGTGTGACATTTTCAATAATGAAAAAAATTAATTTTTATATGGTATCTTATTTTGGCATATCTCAGGAGTTCCTAAACATTGAGACATTGCTACAATAAAACGTCTTTCATCCCTGTCTACTTATTTATAAAAACAAGGTTTCTCAGTGTTTATATCCATAAAATCAAACAAAAGAACAGAATTAGTTCTTAACAACTGTCTTATTTTAGGACTTTATCCAAGAATGGGGAAGAAAAGACCATCCATCTCATTATAAGAGGCATTTCCAATAAAGTTTTAGTTTTTATATTTATATATTAAAATTGTACTAAAAACAACTATAATAACCCAGTGAAGAAGAAACGCAACATTTAGCACCTTACTGTCAGAGAACTTTTTAAAATATTTTTAAATTTCTATTTAAGTATAAATTTTTGTTACAAATAGAACAGGATGAATAGTAAAAGATTCTTAACTATATAACTTATTACGACACAGTTCAGAGGGGAAAATGCAATGGAAAAGCTAGTTCGGAGAAAAGGGAATCAGCCATGTGCCACTTAATGACAGGGACAGGTTCCAAGGGACGGGCTCCGAGCGGCTCCATCGCCGTGCGATCCCAGGGAGCACTTACACAAACCGAGATGGTCCTGCCCACGGTTTGTACAGTACAGTACAGCTCTCCTAGGCTACACTGTACAGTACAGCCCAGCTCTCCCAGGCTACAAGCCCGCACAGCCTGGTACTGTACTACACTACACAAGATTAAGTCAAATACCAGAAAAAAATGACACAATCAAGAGCTTCCAGGTGTAATATATGTTCTATTTTATAACAAAGTTTTATTTAATAAGTAGAAAGAGTACACTCTGAAATAATGATAAAAAGTGTAAGTACACAAACCAGTAACACAGTCATTTATTATCACCGTCGAGTGTTATGTACTGTAGGTAATTGCATGGGCTGTACTTTTATACAAGTCGCAGTGCAGGTCGGGGACACCAGCATGACCACAAATACGTAAGGCACTGTGCTGTGATGTTACGATGGCTATGACGCCACTGGGCGATGGGAAATTTTCAGCGCCTTTGTAATATTATGCTACCACTGTCACATATGCAGGCCTTTGCTGACCCAAATGTCATTCTGCAGTGCACACCTGTATTGTAACATTTCCAAATGTTGAAGAGCTTCTTCACAGATTTTTAAAAATAATGATTGGTATCAAAATGCTATATTTAGATCCATTAATATATTTCAGAGTAACAGTTTTATACTGAAAAAATGTCCATGTCTATTTAAAGATGTCCAAAAGGGTGTGATTTTCAAAATTCTTGTAGAATTTTCAAAAAAGTTTAAAAATTGTTCTAGGTAATAGCTGCTTGACCTTTAACTCTGTGTATCCATCTTTTCTAAGTTATTTTGTTTAATGAGAACAGGAATTTCAAACAAGAGCGTCATGTTAAGTACCAAAGAGGCTCTGAATAAACCTGCACCACTGTCTAATGGCACTCAGTGAGTGTAGCTCTGTCGTGCCTCACGCTGCCCTGTTCAGGCCACGTCCTTCACGACTCTAGATTCTAACAGCTGCATTTATACTCTACCACACATCACTTATGAACTAAGACTGCGTACAGAGGAGATAAATGAGCTGCCTCTCATTAGCACCAGTATCACAGGCCCAGTCACTTACAACACAACCAAGCTTTTAAGGGGGAAAGAACAGCCCTTATCAGAGCTTCTTACCAGCTATGATTGTTGTTGCTTGTCGCCTCACATTATTTTTATCCATGTATTCGCCGTAGTCTACTTTCCCTTCCACAAAAATTCGAGACCTGCAGTAAGTAAAATTTACAATTTTCAGTCTGGAGATTCTGATGTTTCACAAGAGAGTCAGATCAGGGGCTATAATGAATACACACTAAGGATGAAATATACAGGACCTAATTTTTGCTATCAGTTCTCAAAGGTCAGAATTAAGAGTACGGAAACAGAATGCACACACACACACTTGACTCCTCTTAGTAAAAAGGACAATGTTTTCATCCTTGAACTGACTATGGTTTGTCCATAAGAAAATGTAAAAAAAAGAAAACGTGCAAAATCGTAAGCTAAAACTTTTTAAAAGGCAACCTTAGAACCATAAAAATGAAACGATAATCTAGCAACATCCTTTAAATATCTAGGATTGATTTCCAATGTGTCATTTTTCTTGACCTTTGATTTTGGCCTAACAGATTTGATTTTCACTTGTTTTTCAAGACCTGACGTTATTCTCGAGAGACTTAGATTATTAAAATGCAGAACAGAGGTTTTCAGCTCAGTATCTCACTGACAGTTAATTACTAAGACTTTTTCTGCACTATCTAGCAGCCTGAGCTGGAAGACAATCATAATACACCAGGTGAAACTGCGTATAGACTTTTCCCATGAAACTTCCTGCATGTGTTTGTATGTACATGCACACATACATACATACATACATAGAGGACAACGGAGATACATATAAAGAAAAGGTATGCAGTTATTGCAAAGAAAATGAAATTGTAGTCACTGCTGAAATTATTTTTCATGAATAATATTAACTGTGAATACAGCTGCTGTTAAACACGCCCTTTTGTCCTGTGGGTTTGGAAAAAGCACTTTGTATTCATAATCAATACAAGCATTTCAAAAAGGGACAATGAAGCCTACACAAAATAGTCAAACACAGAACAACTGATGTGACTATGACCACAATATTCACTGTCAGGCTTCACACACTGATCCTCTGCTCAGGCCGTCGTGAGGACAAGGAGCACGCCGCCCTCAGGACGCCTGGGCAGCGTGGGAACTCCTTAAAGTCTGTGTTGCACTTGCTCACAGGGCACTCGGTACACTCTGGCCTCATCTGCTTCTATTTATGTACACGTCCTATCTTCCCTAAACTTCAAGTTCTTAGAAGGCTAAACCAGGTTTTATACCCCTTTTCTCACATAGCAACACATGCATAGAGTATTAAGCAATGACTAAATATCTCTTGTGTTAATATAGCTTACTCAGGAACGAAGGAATTACATATTCCATGAAAACACTTGTCATCAGGTTTTAAACCACTCAAACTGGAAGACTTCCTGCTTCCACTTACCCCTTTTTCACATACTGATATGCCACATCTCTGAGGCCTGGTCGGAATACTGAAATTCTGTGCCATGTTGTCTTTTGACTGACGTCACCTAAATCACAAGAAAAGGAAACACAATTATAAGTAACAACAGAAAAAATAAATGCCAAAGGACAACAAGCCTGGCAAAACCAACATCCTGGTATTTAAGAGAACAGAACAAAGTCGGAGAAGAATGATCCTTTCTAAAAGTACCTCATCTCTAGTTAGATCATTGAAAGTAGACAATGTCTATTTATTGCTGATAAAATGACCACCCCAGTCTGTCATACTCACCAAGTTGGTATGCTTCATTGTCTCCTGATTTCCACATCTCATTGGTTGCTAGAGAAAATATTGTGACTGGGTTTTTCCCTTCCACCTGTCTCATGACAGGGTCCTGACCCACTCGCCCAAGCAACTGCACACGATTCAGAGCTGAAATGCAATGTATAGATAAAATGAGACGGAGAGAAACGTCTTGAAGAGGAAAATCAGTTGAATGGGGCAAATAATGAGAAACTAGGAGGACAAAAGGGTTGGCAAGAAAGAAGGAACTATTCTTAGAGAGAGTAGCCCACAAAACAAATATTAAGCTCTTTAAATTCTTCTTTAAAATACCTCTAAAAAAACTGTATTTGTTAAAATAACAAATCTGAGATCTTTATATATACAAGGGAATATTTCTGTGAAACAACCGGTTCCACAAACTTTCAGTCCCTCAACCAAACAGCACATAACCTTGGAAAACTCGGATAACCAACTATGACTCAAGGAAATTCTACGGCAGGAAAGCAACAAGAGGGAGTGAGATCTGACCAATCAGGGAAGAAGGGCCCAATTTATACTAGGCCCTGCAGCCTGATGGGGCAAGGCGAAGACTCGAGAAGCAAATGGGAGCCAAAGGCATGATGACTAACAGGTTATAACCCAACCGGTGCACCTCTGCAACACATCCGAGAGAATATTAGCACATTGCTACAAATATCATACTTTAAACTTGGAAATCAGCTACTACTTACATCTTTCAAGAACCAAGCTGCTTACTATTTCAGACTCATGTCTTACAAATTTATGAAGCACCTAGTGGAACAAATGAATAAAATGGCTGTAATTTGTTGAAATTTTCAGGGGAAGGTGAATGCAAACAGAAGACCTACTCACATTCGGTCAGCATCTAGTCAGCCGCTCCTATAGGATACGTTTACAGAAAATAAGAGATGCACTTCCCATGTTCTCCCGTCACACAGTGCCAGAGGGACCACAACAACACCTAAGGGCAGCCAACTACAGAGCCCAAAGGTCCAAAGGAGGCACCAGAGAGCATGCCCAAGACAGTTAACTTGTAGTCTTCCCCTGTTTCTTTCGTGGTAACCTTCCTGATTATGGTGCTTCTGTGACTGCACAGAAAAGGGAAAATCCAATATATGCTGGAAAAACTCATGCTTTCAACAGGCCAAAGAAAAAAAAATCTAAGAGGAACAAATTTGGTTCTTTGATCAAGTACAAAGATAGGATTGTCGAAATCAGTTTGTCAGAGAAAGGTCGTGGCTGCCACATGACAGCAGCACTCAATGATAACAGCTATCCTTTCTCAAGACCAGGGAAGTGTTTTAGTTCTTATCAATTAATCCTTGCAAAACAAACAAACTAAAGTTCAGAGATTCAGTAACTTGCCCACAATCCCACAGGAAGTGGCAAGTCATGCCTAGAACACAGAACCATCTGGTACCAGGGCTGCTGCCATCCCAATGCCCTCTGCTGCCTCCTTAAAGACATTCTGTTCAAGGGCTCCTGCTAAGATAAAAGTACACATCATGGGTTCAGGGAGCTAAACCGTTACATCAGAGAAACCCCATGTGCCAAGTGGTAGCACTAACATAAAAAGCAGATGTCCACCAATCAAATGAATACCCATTCCTGGGGTACTGCTGGCTATTGAATCCTATCACTGTTTTGGGGCCGAAAGTGGGTAAGAAAATAAAGACGTAAGTCAGAACATACCAAGTATCAAACTGCCAACTAGTATCTGTATCACGAGTACTCAGATGAGTTAGGCTGGCTCTTAAGTCATATAGAATATGTTTCATTTTGAGTACACAAAAAGCAAGACCTCACAGAGAAGCAAAAATGGGAAAATAATTTTTTTTTTTTTTTAATTTTATCATCCTCACCCGAGGACATTTTTCCATTCTTTGTTCAGATAGAGTGGGAGGGAGGGAGAGAGAAACATCGATGTGAAAGGGACACATAGAGTGGTCGCCACCCCCACAACCAACCAGGACCGGGAACAAACTGCAACCGAGGTACATGCCCTTAGCGGGAACCGAACCCGGGTCTCTCCGGACCGCAGGCCGATGCTCTAACCGCTGAGCCAAACCGGCCAGGGCGGAAAATAATTTTTTAACTGGGATTTTTTAAATTAAACTTTTAACTCTTTTATATTGGCTTTAAAAGTACCTTAACACTGTAGCACTGAGTAGCAAGACAATAGTAACTTTTCCAAGTTTCACATTTCAACACATCCACATGTAAATGTTAGAAGTATATATAGGTTAGCCCTGGCTGGTTTGGCTCAATGGTTAGAGCGTCAGCCTACGGTCCGGAGAGACCCAGGTTCGGTTCCCGCTACGGGCATGTACCTCGGTTGCAGTTTGTCCCCGGCCCTGGCTGGGTTGTGCAGGTAGCAACCACTCGATGTGTCCCTTTCACGTCGATGTTTCTCTCTCTCTCCCTCCTCGGATGAGGATTTAAAAAACATATATATATATGTATAGGTTAAAATGGGTTCCAAGAATGTAGGGTCAATTCTCCAGTAGAAGAGGGAGATGAGAACAGGCTAAGGAAAAGGGGTAGCTGAGGCTGGCTAGAGTGTCTGGAGAGATGAGAAGTCAGATTAGGTGGAATGAGAAATAATTTTAGACATAGTAAATTGTAATGTTGGGACTTCAGCTTCTCTCCTCTGTATGTAGGGGTGGGTTGGGAGGCAGCTGACAACACAGAACATAGGTGGTCAGAAAAGGAACTACATGTCTTATAGAAAAATGCTGGAACATGGGTTCTGAGTCTTTGGATCAATAAAGACTTTAAATGTTCTCCAACTGATCTAAGTGCAAGTAATATGTTTTAAAGTGATGACTTCCATTATATATACATGATTAACCAGAAAATAATGTTTTGTTTTAATGAACATTATTTACACAAGTAAAATCTGTCCCCAACCCACCGTATCAAATAAGTACACGTAAAGTGGGTGGGCTCTAAGGTCTTTTGCCTCTGCAGTCAAAAGCCCAAAGAAATCCAATCACAGCCCTGGAGGGTTTGGCTCAGCAGTTAGAGGGTCGGCCTCTGGTCCAGAGAGACCTGGGTTCGGTTCCCGCTAAGGGAATGTACCTCAGTTGCAGTTTGGCCCTGGCCCTGGTTGGGTCGTGGGGGTGGCAACAACTTGATGTGTCCCTTTCACATCAATGTTTCTCTCTCTTCCTCTCTCTCCCTCCCTCTCTATCTGAACACAAAATAGAAAAATGTCCTCAGGTGAGGATTAAAGAAAAGAAAAGAAAAAAAAAAGAAATCCAATCACAAAGGCTGATAATAACCCATCTCAGCTCTAACATGGAAAGTGATTACCTGTAATACAGGTCTTCGAAACATTGCTTCTATTTTTCTGTTCCTACAATCTAATCTTCACTCTTTACTTGAAGGGAAAAAAGATACATTATTACTACATCTTATAGCAAGAACACAAATTCACCAATGCCAAATTCATAAATGTGTTCCCGATTTTTATACACTCCATCGTATGATCATAACCCATCAACATTCCTGCACATTTGAGGATTCCCCCCTATAAAAACCTTATACCTGGCCCTGGCCAGTCTGGCTCAGCGGTTGGAGCGTCGGCCTGTGGACCAGAGAGTCCTGGGTTCAGTTCCCGCTGGGGGTACCTACCAAGAAAAAAAAAACCTTGTACCTGTATCTTTTTGATCCCCCTTAACTTCTTCGTCCTCCAACCCCCCCCCCCACACACACACACACACAAAATCTTTATTCTGAGTTATTCCCATTCATTTCCATTCCACTATCTTCTCAAATTTTATTCCAAGGTAAGCTCCCGGAGAGCTGGGATTGTTGTCCGACTTACTCACTGTCATATCCAATCCACCTAAAACAGCTTCTAACACACAGGGAGAGCTCGACAAATATTACAGTGTCGTCAAGGGACTTAAGCCTGAAGCTTGTTGCTGCAAAAATCACTGCCTCCACCCGGGCTGGCAAAGACTAAGGAGACTCCTGGGCTCCCCGGCCTCACTCCCCGGACGGGCGCCCTTTCTCAGCGCGGGGGTCCCAACCAACGACGAAGAGGGGCTGGGAAGGGAAACCGCGAAGTGCTCCCCACGCGTGAAGAGAGAAGGGACAGACAGCGGCAGCAGCACCCTCCGACGCACGCAGGGCTGCACGAACACCCAGCACAGAGCTCACGCGTTCCTCCAGCCTCACCTGACGCTCCAGCCGAACCAAGCCAGGAGGTCACTTCCCGACGCAGCCGCGACGCAAGGCTCGCGAGAGGAAAAAGAAACCGGAAAGGCCGTGGCGTACAAGATGGAAACGCTGCCGGCCGACGCCGCGGGAAACACGCCCCCCTAACGCGTTAGTTCCGGGAGCTTTGTTTCCGGGCAGGAGCGGAGAAGTTAATTAACTCCGCCAAGTGGCGAGAGGGGCTGAATCAAGATTATGAGATGAAATTATGTGCTGAGATTCCCAGCCGGGCCCTGGAGGGGGCGAGGTAGGGGCGCAAGGGTAGCTCCGCCTCTGGAAAACACTAGAAAGCTGTAAGAAAACAAGAAAAAGGAGTGGGGATGGAGCTGAGAGCGCCAAGTAGGAGGCATCAAAAAATTGGCAAAGTAAATATTTCAGTGCAGTGTTTAAAAATAGTCAAAACTGATGCAAAAACTTCTGAACAAAAAATTAAAATTTTAATTTAGATACAAAATCCGAGCCATATTGGATTCCAAGGTACAAGGAAAAAATATGCACCCCTATATTTTTACTTATTTATTTTTTCAAAACACTTATTACTTTTAAAAATATTGAAAAGTCGGTGTATGAAAACTTACAATATTGTTTTAAATTTAAATATTTTATTTACACCGAAAACTATTATAATTTTACTTTCCTGGCTTTAATGGACGTAAACTGGTCAATAATATTTTCAATGCCTACTTATCTTATTTCCACTTGCAAGAATTGCCATGTCTGACACCTTTTTTTGACCAAGTGGCCATCTTCAATAATAATTTTAATTAACTTCAGCTTAGAGATCTTGTCTTTAAAACTCTGATATTTTGTTCATTGTGGATAATTTTTATTAATTTTAATATTCCAAAAATGTTGCATTAAAGTATCATTAATGGCTGGGATTATTTTATTTTATTTTTATTTTTTGGCACCCCTCAAATTTTTTTTGGCACCCCTCAAATTTTGCCTCATTCACCCTAATCTTGGCACTAGTAATGAAGAAGTGCCTGGAGCCACACAGGTTACAGAAAACAGGCTAGAGGGGGTCTCACCCTCATCCTGGCCCTGGCACTGTCCAGCTTTTAGAAAAGGAAGTTACCCTCCAGATCCTTCTAACATGCATATTTTCTCAGGACCCAACTTTAAACCCTTCAGTGCCCATTCTTGCCCTTGAAGGAAAAGATATGAACTTACTAATGGTATTGTCGACATAGAATGTCCAAACCTGTTGAGAATTTTTATGAGTTTATTGAGCCAAACTGATGACATATGCTGGGGAGCAAGATCTCAAATATTCCATAGAATGGCTATTTTGTAGCTTATTTTATACATTAGAATCAAAGGAGAAGACCTAAAGAAGGTGCATGAAATCCACTGATGGTAGATTAAGGTGGGAGAAAAGCATGGGGTTGGCAGGAAATCTCTAGGATTGAATAAAAGGCAAAATGGAGAAACATACTTTTGCATTGGTGGGTATAAGATAGTTCATAACTAACATTTACAGCACATAGAGGTGGTACACGGAGAACAAGATAACAATGAGGGGTCTGTGGTCCACACTCAGGTGGTCTTGTGCTCTGGTGCTGACAGTTGTGTCTTTGAGGCAGAGGAAAAGGAAATTACTCTGTTTCAAAGGTATGTTATCCTAGATTCATAAGAACAAAGGACAGAGCTCGCTTAAAGATTGACCTTTGCCAATGGCCTGGGTTACCCAGTTAGGAATTTGTGATCAGACCATCCTGTGGAGTTTTGGTCCCTGAACTTGTTAGGCCTGCTATGTGCCCCACCCTGGCTTGTCTGGTTTACTGCACAGCTCTCTTTTCGTTCCCAGTATATTTCTACATGCTTAGCTTCATTTTACTTCCACCTCCCCAATATTTAGTTCCTGAAATGCCATTGTTAATTCATAAAGATTTGAGGCTATAAAACAAAAGTTTATATGGGCCCTTAAAGGATTCAAATCCAAACAAGGCAGATTCAGGTAGCAACCCAACTGCACTCTGGAGGGAACAAAGGCAGGCAGGGTTTATAAAGGCAAAATCCATGAAATGTAATTCTTCCACGCAAATGAAGGACAGGACGGCTGGCTAGCTTAACAAGGATTGGTTGGTTCCAGTATGCAAATGAGGGGGGGACTACAAGGAAGGAAAGGAAGGTCTCTAATGTCCAGGTAGCGGCAGTTGTTCCAAGATTTTGTGGCTGGGCCTTGAGATGAGTTTAGCAACTTCATAGCAGCCCTGGGAACTGTGGCACAAGGTGTGCCTCACTTCCTTAATAGCCTCCTGGCTGTTTTAAGTGACTCCCTTAGCAATGTTCATTCTATTTTATTATACTGCCTTAGGCCTTGCACAGGTATTAATCATTCAACATTCCACCAAGTTACTACTGTCCGTGCCCTTCAGTGATTTCCTATTTAAAAACCCTCCTTCCACTTGAGATGTTGTCAAATGAAAAACGAGATTTATCCTTTCTTTCAAAGACTGTGTGTCCCCTTTTAAACTCCTTGTGTGTGTTAATGGTACCAAGATTCTCCCAGACCTGAACTTTGGAGTTATGTTTAAAACCTCTGTGATCACCTACATCTATCCATCCATATCCAATCATTTAGCCCTAAAAGGTCTTTCTTCATGATGCCACTAATCACTCCCTCTTTCTTTGTATTCACAAATACTTTGGGGCAAGAAGTATAGAAAATGTTATGTTTTGTTTTGTTTTTTAAGCAGAAAGCACAATGCAGACTGAAAATAGACTCAATCCTTCCCACATTCAGCAGTGGCTATGCAGCTATGTGCTCTTTTGGTGACTTTGCACTCACATCGAGCCCAGCAAAAAAGGAGGAGAGAACCCAAGGTGCCTTCGGGTGTCACAGCAGGAACATGGTAGAGAAGGGATCATAGACCCTAGTAGTAGTAGTAGTAGTAGTCGATGCCTGAGGAGACAAGTATAACCAAAAAATTCTGGTCTATACATTGCATTCTCTTCATGATATACCTGTCTATAAATCACACATTGCGGTTGTCCTTGCACTGTCCTGCAAAGGACATGACTGGGTTGGCAGAGGCAAGAGATAAATTAACTCAATGTTAAAATCTTGAAGAAAGACTGGCTTTTTATTTTATTTTATTTTTTCCATTTTTTGTTCAGATAGAGTAGGAGAGAGAGAGAGAGAGAAACATTGACGTGAAAGGGACACATCAAGTGGCTGCCACCCGCACGACCAACCAGGGCCGGGGACAAACTGCAACCGAGGTACCTGCCCTTAGCAGGAACTGAGCCTGGGTCTCTCCGGACTACAAGCCGACGCTCTAACCACTGAGCAAAACCGGTCAGGGCAAGACTGGTTTTTAAAACGGCAATGGGCAGAACGGAGCACTAGACCCCACTAATTGCATGGAAAGAATTGCTATTTCAAGACAGAAGGAAAAATGATATGATGGTTTATTCAATTAAAAAATAACTTAAAAATTAAGGGAAAAGAAGAAAGTGAGGCAGGAAAAAAAAACCTTATAAATCATTTACAGGCTACCTTTATTAATATGACATAATTATCAAATGCCCTTATTGACCAACATTATGTTATCTTATAGCCAGACCATTAAGCTTTTGGGCCTGTGCAGCTGGGCCTGGAAACCAGGACCCATTGTACAAACCTACCAAATTCTCTCACCCATCTCCTCTTCCAGTGGTTTCCAACATGCATTTCTCATTCTTTGTGAGTTACATATTACACCCAAGAGTGCTTTACCCACATTTGGCTTTGAACAAGATAAAAACCTTTATTTATAAATCTTCTATTCCTTTAAAAATATATACACAGAAAAGGATAAAATATGATTTTTAAAAAATCGTTGGAAACAAAGCCAAGTTATGATAAAATCAAGGAGAAATTGGTGACACGCAGAAAATCAAAACCAGTCACAACAGGTACAAGAGGGTCAGGGCAAACAGTCTGTGGATGAACAATCTCATCGCATTTCCCTCGTGCCTTCTACCCAGTGTTTCTGTCCTGTAAGTTAAGAGCCAGCTCAGAAATTTCAAGTTATGTATAGTCTTATTTCTCTACCCACCTCAAATAATGGTGAAGCCATTTATCTTCAATAAATACAATGTCAGAGGAGGAGATGGTCTCCGTTCAGAGAAGACAGTAGAAAAAGGAAAGTGAGAATTCTTTTACAAATACCATCGGATAACCTGGGAGACAGGTTAAAATCCAGGTGCATTTTCTTGTAAGTTGTTGCCTCAACTCAGAAGAGAATTGTATGTTTTTCTATATGCAGGGAGAGTCACTGGGATCCTTCGTAGGTAAGTAGCTAGAGCAAAGTCTTAGTCCGTAGGCTGCACGGAGGGCTCATTCCTTCTCTTCCGTCCGTTCAGAAGCCCATGCTTTCCCGTTGTGTCCACCGAACATGAGAAACGAACTATGGACAGGCAGCGTTAGGAGTATAACAATAGAGAAGATTATTGTATCAGAGACCGTTGCTAGCAGAAGGTCTCAGCAGCTGTAGGCTCTTGGCTGTAAATGCTAAATGAAGAGCAGCTTCAACACCTTCAGGCATTCAGGTTGGTGAGTCTTTCCATTTACAACAGGTAGTTTGACGCAGTTGATCTGATCTGATCGTGGGTTGGTGTGAAATGAGTTCCTATGGGGAAGACTTCCCACAGGGGAAGCTTAAAGACTTTGCGCTCTTTCCTCCCACTGGGCGTTTGGTGCTTCTTGATCCTGCGGGGGTCCCCGAGACCTCAGGGTCACTATGGCCTTCCCGGGGGTACTGGGCCTGCTGGGCCTCTCTCAGTTCCCTAGCGGTGAAAGAGGAAAAGCATATGTCACTCCATTCTAAGTCAGAGATATTTATGATGAAAACTAACATATGAAGAGACATGCATTTTTATTTCAGTATGTACAGAAACAAGCCTAAGCTACACACAGAATAAAAAATTCGCTCCTGTGATTGTCTTCAAAAATGGCCGGTGCACATGAGCCGTAATACACCACAGGGTTGGTTTCCTAAATCCTACTGGTTGGGACATAAATGGTCTTCAAAAATTAAGAAGTAGTGGGTGGGGGACAACTCTACAGGCTGCATATGAAAGCAGAGCCCAGGGCTCCTGGGTCAAGTCTGGCCAGCCACCTGTTGTGGTAGATCAAGTCTCATTGGAAAACATAGCCACACCCATTCACTGATACACTGCCTATGGCTGCTTTCCTATTACTACAGCTGCGCAGGTCCGTGCAGCAAAGGTCACATGGCCCCCGGTGTAAAATATGTACTATCTAGCTCTATAGGGAAGTTTGCTAACCCCTGTCCCCATCTCTGTGATGGATGCTCATTACTGGTAATGGCTGATGATGGTCGCCTGTGCCTGCATAGCCAATTTCACAGAATGTACATGCCACACCCAAAGAAAAACTTATATTCCCGTGACTATATGTATATATACATATCTTGTACATGTGTATACATACATATTGTGTGTGTGTGTGTGTGTGTGTGTGTGTGGTTTATTAGCTAGGAATACTGGAACCTAAAACTAGAGCAAAAGGATATTAAGTTGCTTATTAGGAAGAATGACCTGACTAAAAGGTCAGTCTCCACAACTCATTGCCAAGATACCATTCTGGGGCCTTTTCAAGTTAATTGTTCTAAGATGGATTGCATATCCAAAAGAAGTTGGACTTCGAAGCTTATTTTACACGTGGAGCATTTTACATCTTCTTTTATATTTTCAATAGAGCACAGGGTATATAATCATCATTTTAAAATGCCTTCAGAACTCTGCTCACACATCACTGCCTGACCTTTATACTGGCCCACCCCATCTAATTCCCATTTGCTTAATGAAGGAATAGATTAACAAATGAAGGCATACATGAACACAAGCGTACATGAATACGTAATGAGACTGCTTCCTTTGGTTTGGAAAAAATACCTCTTCCTCTGAACATATACCAAGAGAGAATGTCTGCCTGCCCCTGAAATTTAATGGAATTCTAAAACAGGTCTCCTCCCACCTTAACAAGGGTTACCTTACATTGAGAGATCATCCACCAGTTTCTTGAATACCTGTTGCCACTCAGAATCCTATTAAGTTTTCTTTACTAGTTGTATTTCCTTGCATTCTTCACTCTGCTTCTTTTGCATTAACTGAATTTTCCCTCTCTGTCACTGTGCGGTTGGGGGTTTGGAAGAGGGACATTTTGTAACCTTGTGTTAAGCACTCTCAACCTTGTGTTAATGCATTCTCAGAATCCTGGCCCAGGGGCAAATCTGGCCCACTCAGGTGTATTGGGTGCTTCATTTGCATGTGAATAAGGGTTTGTTATTTTTTGGCTCCAAGGTCTCTTCCCATAAAAAGCAAGAGACCAAGCTAGGGTGTATGGTTTGCAGTAATGCCATCTCAAGGAAATAATTTACATAAATCCACTTGTAACCTGGGGGTACCGATCTGCAAATAAATGGGACTGTGTCCAGAGATCTGAAGCATTTGCTCTCTTGCAAAGCTCCCTCTCACTCCAAGCAGCCTGTGCTTATAGTTTCATTGTGCTGCACCGATCCCGGCAGGCCGAGAGACAGCAAGTCACAGAGCCTCCAGCCCCATGCTACAAAGGACCTCATGCTGCTACTCTCTTTGTGGGCAGAGACCTATGCATTATAATGTTGGGTTCCACTGGGATTCAGAGAGAAGATACACCAGTCGTATCATTGTGAGCAGTATACAAATAGGTTCTTTCTCAACTCCAGTATCCAAAATCTACCTTTCTAGTGTGGCTGTCTTCATCCTTTCCAAGTTCAGCTGCCGCTGGAGCTCTTCTGTTCTCCCCAGGGACGGACGGAGGACTCGACTTCTGGCCAGAGCTGCTGCAGAGGGTCTCTTCCTGGGATCAGGGTGGATCATGTTCTGATGATGTAAGGAAATGAAAGCTTCACTGTTTGGAAATCTCCCCTCCCAAAGCCAACTCCAAGCCAGCTTCTGCTGGTGGACTTTGTGAAATTCTGTTTCTCCTTTGGGCCGAGGGAAGAAATAGATGAAAACTTAGCTCCACCTGGGAAAGGATATAATCCCTGTCTGGTAGTATCAGTCATCCATACCTCAGACTTAATCTTTAAGTATCACAGTTTAGAGCTAGTTGGATGATTAACTACTCTAATGCCTTAATTTTAAACAGGAAGAAACTGAGCTACTGAGATGTCATTGAGTACAAGTGACACACAGATTCCTGAATTGCCATTACCTTTCTTCCACTAGCTCAAATAATTGGTGGTATTGTCAATTATTAACCAATAAATCAGCTTATACTTTCTTCTATACACTCAAAATTCAGGGTTTTTTTTTGTTGTTGTTTTTGTTTTTGTTTTTAGTAACAACATCACCATTACTATTGACAATGGTTAAAACCCTGAAATAGGAGCAAAAGGACCAGGTTTGATTTGATTTTGGAGTTAATCAATGATCAGAGGTGGAATACAAATCAAGAAAATGCTGTGAGCCTTGGTTTTCTCAACCGTCCACTCCACAGCGTTGTTCAGAAAGGCCAATGAAAACAATAGAACAGGATTTTTAAACCATAACATAAAAAGTCTCTATGATATTCTCTAAATGTCCCTGAGAAGCGTTCACTCTGTCCTGTGTCTCTGCTGGGCTTCCTGGTCCTGATTCCCATTTCCTTCTATCATTGGCACGACCAATATCTCCAGTTCCCTTTTCCCGCTGACTTGCCATTACATTAAAAAAAAAAAAAAAGATATTTCTATCTTCTCTTCATTTCACAAGAGATATCACCTTGAGTAGATTGTAAAATTCTTCCGAGAGCTCCTGAGGGATGTGTGGAAGGTTACCCTTGCGGATATGATGCCACATGTCACCATTGCTGGGTAATGACTCTGCTCCCGCAGCCACTGCAATTGTTAATCCCAAGGCAAATATGTCTCCTTTGGGGAGATGCTGATAATCCTTCAAAACAGAAGACAGGAAGGCCAGTTTGTCTGTCAAGTGAAGTGAGTCTAGACTAAAATACAACCGGTAAGAAAGGTTCATTTGAGTGCACGTGAGTTTGAACATACACCTTGGGCGAGGTCACATCCTCTGTGGTTGGTAGTCTACTCCTAGGAAGGTAATGGCTAGAGCACAAATCCACCTGGTTAACACTGCTGTGCCAGGCCTGACTCCACAGGCATCCTGGAAGGTGGGCAATCCGCTAAGGGCATTGCATTGACCAGACAGCTATGCTATCAAAAGGATAGTAGCCTGATAAAGATGAGGTGGACCAATAAAGTCTTCCTTTCTACTAGGCAATTCAGTGAGTTTTGGAATTCTAAGAAATAGCAGAAGCAATAAGGGACCTTTACAAAGAACAGTACAAATATTAATTCATAAATGAGCCAGCTTTTCTCATTCTTTTAGGGGGGAAATTTCTCTCCTATTTTGTTTTTTTTGTGTTTTTTTTTTATATATGAATTTTTATTTATTTTTTTTGTTACAGATATTTTACCTTTTTACCCCATTGGCACCCCCCACCCTACCCCCCCTCCACCCTGTCCCCGGCTTAGTTGTCCATGTCCATTGGTCATGCATACATGCATATAAGTTCTGTGGTTTATCTCTTCCCACCCCCCCACCCCCCATCCCCTCTTCTGGATCTCCATTCTGAATAGGAAAGGAGATAATATAAATTTAAATGATAAATATATGCTTTTTTTTTTTCATTTGAAAGTCAGTGGATTATAAAATAGCCTCTGTTTCCCTAATCAATACCTCTTGCAAGATCTCTTTAGCCAGGAAGTGAATATCTCCCTCTTCCACTTTGGGTGTGTTTATTGATGTTGCAAGACCCAAGTCTCCTAAAAAGAGAAAGGGGGGCGGGGGGACTCTTTAAAAGCATGTCCTTCTTAAAGCAGGAATAAATTGAGTCATCAGTATAAATTGAGTCATCAGTATACATTTTATAGGAAAATGGAATACAGGTCAGGGTGTAAGACAGACTCACCAATTTTATATATCACATTAGCAGAGAGAAACCAATCAGCATCATTTTCAATCTCTTCTTGGACTACAGGAGAGTCACTCTGCATCTGATGACAAATGAAGATGTTACCTGCAAAAATACAGAACCGGCTTAAACAATGACTCCCGAGATTTTTCACCCCAAAGGCTCCTTTTAGCATTTGCCCCTACATCCACCCTCCTCCCCTCCTCTTCTGTGTGCCTGTGACCAAGAGTACAAAGTGTCTTTTCTTCCCCGGAGTCTCTCACACTCCTCCTGAACAGCTCAGTGATGGATGATACCTAGTTAAGTGAAACTGACATCAAACCTAACCTCATCCTCTGAAGAGGCTGGTGGCCTCAAAACAAAGAAATGAGGAAAAAACACAGTCTGGTAACAACATTCCCTTGAGTTTCACATTGATGAGGGCCAACACCATTCATTTCTGCCCACCTCAATCTGTGTGAATTAGAAAGACGATAGCACCAGTAAACACTGGATATAGCCGATACGTCGTCAGCCATCATTTATCTATGTAGTAAATTAAATACTTACGTTTATACTTTGATTTCACTACCTGGGAAAGAGTCCTTCCTTTCTCTGTCCCCTGGGCTCGGGGAGAACATGGTGAAGGCTGTTTAACTGAATTGGTTTAGGGGAAACAAATGAAAGAAAAAGATTCTTCTAGCCAGAGGCATCTTTGACACGTGACAGACACAGACGGACTCTGACCAGAGTGGGGGAAGAATGACACCCGGTTGGAGGGGCAGCTGGGGGCCGTACTGACTCGGTTTGATGTCCAGGTGCACCATGTCCGAGTTGTGGATGTACTTAAGCCCAAGGGAGATCTGCAGAAGGATGTCTTTGAGCTGCGGCTCTTCAAAGGGATTGCCAGACTTGATGTTTTCACATATAGCAGCCTGTAAGCTCCCACCTAGGAAAGAAGAACCAAGGGTCACCCCACAGAAGGAGAGGAAAGCATGGTAAATAATAAATTTCTTGTGAATGAACCCAGGCCAGCAAGTCTAGATCGCCCCAGTGTCAAAGCAAAACATAATACTGACTCCCCGCCTGTACCACAGACACCTTAGAAAGAAAAGGTACAAGGCTTTTAAGGAGCAAGAGAAATGCCATACCCCAGATATCCAATATATGGCCCTATTGTCTTGGGTATGCCTCAACTATCTCAAGTTTTACCTAATTATTAACTAGAAGGCTAATCAGCCTTAGTCATATGGCCACTATTGGTACGATGATTAATTTCATGTCAGGATCAATTAGTAAGTATAGGCCATTAGTAAGTTTAATGTAATTGATTCTAAGTTTAATTCCATTAAAAATATATCATGAAATAGGAACATTTAATGATTGCTAACCTAAGGAAAATATAAAACGTCGGTATACACCCAAATCCCATTTGAGTCACAGTATTTGTACCTCAACTACAGACTCCTGATTTATTATTATTCTCAATAGTAAGCAAGGTGTGGGCTCATCTGACTACCTGACCTTGGATGCACCTGTACTAAGGTATTAGGCTTCTGAACCCTTGATTTCATTAATTAGCATTTATTGGTAGCCTCGTCAGTCAAAGTTAAGAGTCCCATGTCTTCCTATTCCATCCTTTAAGTGTATATTAGGACAATAGGATCTTGGACAGTAATGATATTTTTTAGGAAATTCATATTTAAGAGTATACTATGTAAAATTGAATTTAAAGATGGGTCTGTTGTGTTAAAATAATTAAGTTCAGAAGAGAAAGGAATTCAGCCCCTTTTAGAAACACAGAGGGCTAAAGAATGTGTGTGTGTGTGTGTGTGTGTGTGTGTGTGTGTGTGTGTGTGTTTCTGGGAAGCTTCTTGGGAAAGAAGTTATGTAGTACAGATGACATTAACTAGAGAGGAAGGAAGAACAAGTAAAAAATGCGTTGGTGCTTGTTAAAAACAAAGTCACCTCAAGGCTAAGTTTGCAAAGGAGGTGATAAGGTGTGGCAAGGAGGGGAAGGCCGTGGCCAGGCCCCCACGTCCACTCGAACTCTGGGCTCTCTACCAGCCAGGGTGTCCCTGTAGGACAGGACCCGCATTGTACCTTCACTTTCCCAAGGTCTGACACACCATAAATATTTTCTGAACTGAATGTCCATCCTGGCAACCAAGGGAAGAGAAAGACTGAGTCAAGGACCCTTTAAAAGGAGGGAAAGGAAGGAGCATCCTGGGGGTACTTAGAAACCCTTTAATATATTCTTTTAGATGATAAGCAGAAATATTTCTGATCCCATGAAGAGCTACAGGTACTTAGTAAGAGTAACTAGACCAGTGCCAGCAGCCCTTGTAATGACTTAGAAGCTCTGTAGGTAATATTAAAGGTAGCCAAGTATTAATTAACAATAGAAGTTACCGAAAAGTAGCCATGTATACTGTATGCAAAGGTATTTGAATCTCCTCCTTTTGCAACAGCTAAAGCTGATCGTCCATCTCTTAGGTTCTTCAGTAAACGGTATTAATAAGGAAGTATGTGTTTATAGACATAGCAATACTGAATGAACTGTAAACTCCATCCCTCCTAACCTCACCCAACTATACTAGCGCCTTAACTCCACAACCCCAGGTACCACCGGAGGGGGCTGCCGTGATCGCCAGAGCTGTGCCCTAGAAGGGAACCGCCCGCTCTGGGCAGCTCTTCTCGTACCATCTTCATGAGATGAGCTGCTGGATTCCCCCCTTTACATAAAATAAAGGTACTTTCCCCACGTGGCAGAAAGAAACACAAGAAAAATAGATCTACATTTTCCTGTCTGCTCAGGAGGCCTAACAGATACCAAAACAAATAAATAGCAATAAACAGCAAATGCCTTCTAATGATACAATGTAACAAGCAGACCAACCCTTCTATAGAATCTTTTGTTCCCTCATTAGTGGTCTCAGATCTTGCTTGTATGTTGCTGCCTACAGCACAAGCATGGCTTTCTGCTGGTGAGGTGCTCCTTGCTTGGTGGAAAGAATAACCAGTATTCATGGTGTTTCCCAAAGGACACTGACTTCTGATGCCACAACACTGGGACAAACATGAGAAGCACTGTCCTAGAGGAGTGTACTCCATAAAACTTCAGTGACAGAAGGGGTCATGAGAAGATACCGCCTGCCGGGAGAGAGTCGTCATCATCCAGTCCTGGATCTGAGAGAATCCTGGTGCCTGCAGAATCCACCTGCCACTGAGAAGCCTCCAGATTGCTGAGGCTGACCCAGAGGTGGAATGCAGGGGATCTTGGCAAGAGTGGGGGAGGAGAAGGAGGAAACATTTAATTGGTTCAGGGTTCTGAAGGGACTATAGGGGATATCAGAGGACAGCTAGTCTCCAGTAGTTATAATCTAAGCAATCTATAATCTAAGCGATCTGCCCTGGCCAATTTGGCTCAGCGGTAGAGTACTGGCCCAGGCACCAATGACTCCTGGGCTCAATTCCAGCCAAGGGCATATACCTTGGTTGCAGTTTGTCCCTGGCCCTGGTCAGGGTCATGCAGGAGGCAGCTAGTCAATGTGTTCCTCTCATGTCAATGTGCATGTCTCTCTCTCTCTCTTTCCCTTTCTATCTGAAGATAAATAGAAAAATATCCTTGGGTGAGGATTAAAAAATAATAATCTAAGTGATCTATAATCTAAGTGATCTATAATCTAAGTGATCTAAATCATCGAATTTGCCATCTGAGTTAAAACCATAACTCTGAGTGTTCCAAACAGACCGCCGTGATAAGCTGGGGGCACAGGGCATAAGGAAAAGATGAAGTAGGGGATGCGGGGCGGGGGAGGGAGGAGATGGACCGAGACACTGGCTCCTCTGCTGCCGTACAGACACATGGGGCTCCTCCTTTATTTAGGGCCACAGGGCAGAGTCTCAACATGGATTGTCCAGAACCACAAGCAAGACAAGGTAGAAGGGCATACTTTATTTTCCATGATCAGCACACATTTGAAAGGTTCAAAGTAGGTGGATACATTTTGATAAATCCCAGTTACATTTTAATTGGTGGGTTCTAGAGGACCACCACGATGAATAGACAGGATTCCCTACAATCTATCACATCTGGTCCAAATCCATGCCTGGATTTCAGGGCTCTATCGCCTCCCTACACTTGACCTTGCTGATCTCTCCTACTGCAGGGGTTCCCCCGAGCCTCACCATCTCCTCGCTGTCTGCTAGACCAGACCCATTGCCAATGCGATCCTGCCCTTTGCCTGCAGGCTGGTCCCCTCACCGGATGTCTTCCCTCCCCTTCCCTGAACTCTTGTAATCCTTCTGCAGGCTGTCCTTCAAGTCTTACCTCCTATAGGAGATTTCCTGGGCTGCTCTAATCACAACTATTGACTTCTTACTGTATACCAGGTAATGCCACTGTGTTGGCATTGACAGAGGGGTGCTGATTCTCAAGTGACTCCCTTAAGTTATCACAGCAGTGTCTCTGCTCAGTGAGATTAGGGGACATCCCAGTGATACTACAGCCCGTGCACGGCAGAGCTGGGTGTTAGCCCCAGGGCGGCCCTGGCCCCTTCCGCTGCTCCCTGCTGCTCTTGCTCACGTTCACCTTTTCTGGGCACTTTTTACCCTAGTTGTACCGTCTGGCTCTGCACCCGACTGTCTCTTGTGTATTCACTGTAGCAGAGCATGTGGAATAAAGCTCCTTGAAGATAAGGATTCACACCTTACCTCCCTCTACAGTGTTTATTACCCTGGAGCTTACCACAGTGTCAAGCCTGTAGGAGGTGCTCAAACGTTGAAAAAGAATTGAAAGATGATTTGGGATCTCATTTGCTTTTAGAAAACTTGAAATCTTTACATTGCCCCAAATCTGGGGGTTGTTTGTTTGTTTGTTTGTTTGTTTGCTTTATTGTGTCTTTTTAAAAATTTTTTGGTACATGCCCGTAGCGGGAACCGAACCCGGGACTCTCTGGTCCGCAGGCCGACGCTCCAACAGCTGAGACATACCAGCCAGGGCTATTGAATCATTTTTGACCTTTGATATTATCTTTGTTAGTAGCTAAAAGTTATGGAAATAGAGAGGGAGGAAAGGTCATGATAAGAGGAACCTAGGAAGAGACCATGGTTAAGAAAAGGCTCAACCTTTCAATCCCAAGCATAAAGACAGGGTCCATTTTTTTTTTTTTTTTTAATACCAAAGAGACTTAGAAAAGGGGCTTTGAGGTGAGCTTATTGAAGACCAAAACCTACAAAGTTTACAGATAAGGCTACAAAGAAATCAGACTGTAAGGTAACAACAAGGGAAATGCCAAACCATTCTTTTGCAGGGTATGTACGATTTTCTGTTTCTAGTGCTTCACAATGTTATTCACTTACCTACTTGTATACTTATCATTTATACAACGTCGAAGCTTTATCACTAACCTCTGTGCTCAAAAGCCAGGCTGGACACACATACTCAGGACTATATGGTGATTGCTAAAATGATTCAGAAACAGACTGTACTTTTAGAGAAACATGGGTGGGTGTATACGGAGAGGCGGCTGGTTGAGGGAAGAGGGGAGCCGTTACCCAGTGTTACCGGGGCAGAACATGGACCGCTGCTACTCAAATGACGCGAGCTTCTATTCAACATGGTAGCACTATTTCTACTTCACCACTGACCTTTCTGATAAAAAACATTTCCGAGAAGAACCACACATAACTGCCGGGAAGGCAACCCCTTCATCGTGGATTAGAAGCATGTTAAACCGGAAGTCCACTCTGCGACTCAGGTAGCCCAGAACCATAGCTGTACCGGTTACCGGGTGTGCACGGCCCTGAAGGGCCTGGGAGAATGAGCTGCAGTCGCTGGGCTTGAGTTGCAGCTCCCGCCCCATGCCCTTGGTCTGGGGAGACCACTGACGCCCAAAAGGTAAGCAGCAGCAAGAAGCATGAACAATCCCCAGACTCAGGAGTCCACTCGAAAATTCATCAAAAGTTGGCTGTATGGATGCATCACCTCCTCCTCCACAAAGGGTAGGGACTACGCTCGCATCTTTTAGAACACCTAGCAAATGGTAGAAAGGACGGTTTACCCTTCAAACCACTAGGGTAAACGTGCTCCCGCTAGTGGGAAGTGGGAAGGGAGTGCACACATCTGTGCATCAGCTACACACCAGCTTCACAAGAAATATGTAATAGCGTAAACCCGAGATTGCTTTCTAAATCAGCTCATCTCCTCCGGCCCTGTGCTTCTGAGCAAAACCGTAGTGCAGACATGTCAGGTATGACTCTATTTACACCTAGCATCAACTACAAGGAAGGGGCACAGATTTTTTTTCTGAAGACTTCAAAGTTCATCTCCCTTCCTGGCTGGGTAGCTCAGTTGGTTAGAGTGTCGTCCTCATACCCCAAGGTTGCAGGTTTCATCCCCAGTCAGGGCACATACAAGAATCAACCACTGAGTGCATAAGTAAGTGAAACAACAGATGGGTGTTCTCTCTATACATCTAAAATCCATTTTTAAAAATAAGTTTGCCTCCCTCTCTGTAGATATTGGTGCACATACTTACCATTGCAGTATTCGTTCTGAATGATCATGTGATCATCTTCTACCCAAGCAGAGTAGTAACGTACCACATGAGGGTGATGCCCAAGCACTGCGTGAGCGTAAACTTCGTGTAAAGCCAAATTCCTAAGAGGCAGAAAAGCATTGAGAAAAATGAATCAAAGTAATATACATGCAAATGTTTTCAAAGGGCAAGATGTGACATTATTAATGACAGCAGAACACTTCTGAAATTCTCACTGCCTGCTTACTATTTTATCTCTGATTTTCATAACTACACAGTGAGGTAGGGTGGGCCAAGGATAAAGGCTTTAGAAATTTCAGTGACTGGTCCAGAGTCAAGCTGCTGTTGGTAGACCTCAGACCAGAACCATGGTCATCTTGATTCCAAAGTCTGTGGCTTTTTGATTAAACATCACACAAGTAAAAAGGAGGCTTAAGTGATGTTACCTCAATTGCAGACATGCTTTGGGATCTTTATTTTATTGTATCTTAGTCAAAAAATCTCGGTGGGCTTCACAGTACGGCCACCGTGGACTTGATTGTGGATATTGGCATGAGCCCTCTGTCTTCTCTATGAAGGCTAGACAGTCAGAGTCAACATGAAACTCGGCCAATATGAAGTCACGGGGACAGTCTTGGAGAGACAGATTTATTGTGAAACAGGAAATTCAACACAAGCAAAGCAAAATCGAGTATTTGATGAGTTTCCGTATAAAAACGAAGAATTTCAAGATCAAGAATTTCAGACTCAGCATAAGTATTTTATCTCCACAGTTCATAAATAGCATTGGCTGAATCTGAAGATGTTTTTCTTGTGAAAAGGAAGAACAATTATGTCTGGGAATGAAATTTGAATTTCTGTTAATTTTCCTTTGCTTGTAGTCCTTGACACTTGACTGTTGAATTCATTATTAATACAAAGTAGAGACAAGCCAGGGATAACAATAACTTCTTTCTTGGCAATATTTCTGATGACCTAAATAGGCACCAAAAGATCATTCCACAAATCTATTAATTATTAAAGAGAAGTAAGACCAGAAGTAAAAGCCACACACACACACACACACACACACACATCATGACCTGAAATGATTATGGTATATTTCAAGACATAACTCATCTCTGATGTGGAAAACTCAGAAAGGTTATAAATGTGAGACAACATACAATAGAGAGGGTGGGGTGATTTTACAAAGGAGCAAGTGTTCTTAATGACATCAGGGCTATTAAAATATTTTGACAAGTGTCCAAGTCCAAGTTAGTGCTTCTAGTACATCTCAGAGGTACTCACTCATTTGCTAATTCTGCAAAAGATTTCGTGGAGCGTTTTATTGCATAAACACACCCATCCAGCCTCTTGATGCACTTGTAGACGGTCCCGAACTCCCCAACCCCAATCTTTTCCACCTCCATGAATTCTTTCTCATAGCGGGAAGTCATGTTGGTTTCTCGTAGAACACATCTCTGAAATGTTTTAGTACAAAAAGTTAACATAATGATTCCTAACGTATTGTGAGCAATAAAATTGGGGAATATTATAACCTTATATTTCTCTGCGTTTTCAAAATGACGTCTTTGGCAAGCCCATTGGATTCTGTGTCACTTTTTACGGTAGCAAGAACCTCCCCGATTGCTGACTGCCTTCTCCGTACTATTATTTCTTTCTGGCCATACTGTTCCTATCTGTATGTCCCTAGAGGGGGCGCATAGACTCCCAGCCAGAGCTACTGACTTCAGCTGAAGGAGCACCTCAGACCTAAGTAGAGCATGTTAGAAATAACCAGGAAAATAACTTCCCTTTGACACTATAGTCTACAGGTCTCGGAACTCTTGGCTACTAATGTCTTTTTATCTCGAGTGGAACAAACAAGTTGCGTTCAATTTGCTTTCTCGAAAATCAGTCTGGAAAACAAAATTGTCCAATTGATTATTTCAGAAGAGGTGCTCCCCCTACTGGGCCAAGTAGCAGCATCACTGATTGGCTGGCTAGTCAAGAACCACAGGCAAATCACTGAAATTTTTCATGCGTATTCTCATGGGTAGGATGGTTCACAGCAAGTACTCCTCGGAGTTCTTTTAAATACTACTCGAAAAAGTGTGTGTGTGTGTGTGTGTGTGTGTGTGTGTGTGTGTTAGTACAATGCCAAGCACATAGTAAATTCTCAGTACATGGCGGCTCTGATTTCCACACATTCATATGAATCTCAATCCAAGCTAATTTAGTGCCCCAAAGGCATCATTTTCTCAGTGTCTCCATTAACAAGAATTTCTCATCTAACTTTGACTCTTAGAAATCTTGAGTCCTACGAGCTCTTCATTTTCAACACCCAATATCAATCTGTCTTCATCAGCAAGACCTGCACTTTCCATCGCCCACAGCCAGTCTCTCACTGTTTCCTCCATGTCTGGATCTGCTGTAGCCCTCTCTCCATCTCCTCTAACAGTAATAATCATTTTTGCAAATGATTATTTGCAAAATAATGACACACCTGTAGAATCAGACACACCTACTTGTTTCCCACGAGGATTCCAAACTTCTAATCAGAGGCCTCCAGGCCGTCTGCCTTCCTGTCCTCATCTCGGTAAGCCAGCTTACTGTCCACATCACTCCCCAACTGCAACCCCTCCCCTCCCCCTTCTGTACACGGACATGGCCATGTTTTCAGCAGGATAGACATCTTAATGGCAATGTAGTAGTCCACTGATTTTAAACTGTAATTTACTTGTCGTTCTATTATTGGACATTTAGTAGTCCCTTCTCTTTTGGTTTTATTCGTTTATTTATTTTTTGCTCTTATAGTTAAGGCTGCAATAAACATTTTTTGCAATAGTATTTGTAGTATTTTCTCAGGTTAGATGACCAAATGAGGGATACAAGATGAAAGATTGTTAACATTATAAAAGTCAACAGATATTGACATATTGAAGAGCTAAAATTTTACATGTAAACCATTGGCTTCATGCCATTTTTCTCTGTTCTGTTTTTTCTATTTTGGGACCCTAGATATCTTGATTTTTTTCTTTTACATCTCTACCCTATGAGGATAGAATTTCCCCACAGATCTAAGACAGAAGCAGTAAACTTTAATGTAAAAATACTCCAAGGTAATGATTCAGCAGTATACATTGCAGAAAACATCTGGTAAAGTAACAAGTAGCTAGCCCTGGCTGGGTTGCTCAGTTGATTAGAGAATCATCCCAATAATCTAAGGTATCAGGTTTGATCCCTGGTCAAGGCATATACGAGAATCAACCAATGATGCATAAATAAGTAGAAGGACAAAATGATGTTTCTCTTTCCCTTCCTCTATAAAAAATAAATGAGCCCATTTGGCTTAGCAGTTAGAGCATCAGCTAGTGGACCCAGGGGTTGCGGGTTTGATTCCTGGTCAAGGGTGTGTGCCTGGGTTGCAGTCCCCGGCTCCAGGGCCATGCAGGAGGCAACCAACTGATGTGGACACACCGAGGTTTCTCTCTCTCTCTCTTTCTCTCTCTCTCTCTCTTTCTCTCTCTCTCTCTCCCCCCTCCCTCCCTCCCTCCCTCCCCTTCCACTCTAACTAAAAAAAAAAATTAATGGAAAGATATCCTCGGGTGAGGATTAACAAAAATTTAAAAAAAATAATAATAAAATACAAGTAAAATAAAGTAACAAAAATAATAATAAAATATAAGTAAAATGAACAAAAATATAAGTAAAATAAAGTAACAGCTAGCTAATCATGTAGACCCTGATGAAAGTTTAAATAAATTCAGCTACAAAGCACATTTGCTACAAAGTGCTGGGTGTGGGAGTGGAGGGAGGGAGGGAGGGAGGGAGGGAGGGAGGGAGGGAGGGAAGGAAGGAAGGAAGGAAGGAAGGAAGGAAGGAAGGAAGGAAGGAAGGAAAGGGGAGGGGAGAGGGAGGGAGGAGACAGAGGCAGGAGAATGAAATGACCAGGACAGCTGGGCCAAAGAACTGTGCTCACCTTGGCAGGCAGCCCTTGTTGTACCTTGCCTTCCCCTGGATCAGCTTCCTCGCTTAAAAAAAATAATTAAAAAAGTGATATCAGCATATGATTAGCACTTATTGATCCTGGTACTCTGCTGAGCTCTGGGCTGTGAGACCATAGAGTAAGACAATGCCTTCTCTTCTCTGATTTAGATTTGGGCACAGGGAAAAAGAAATTTTCTATATAAGAACCCAGGTGAGGCCAGGAACCAGACATTAAGGGATGCCATAGACAGCACCCAATTCATGATTTCAAGAGTAAAACCCTTTCCCAAAAGAGAGGCCACGTGAGCTAGGATTCCGAGGATGAGTAGGGACCAGGCACAGGAAAGAAGAGGGGTTTGGGGCAAATAGAACAACATCTGCTGAGAACAGGAGGCAGGAAAGCCCACAGAACACAGGTGGAACTGTCAGTGGTCTTCACTGCCACCCGACACAGTCCCCTCCCACACCTGCCTCCCCCACACCTGGCATGTTTGGGGGTCACAGGCAGAGTAGCGCAAGAGGTGAAACCATGAATCCCCAGCTTATAAATCATCCTAAACAGCTAAAGCCAATAGAATCCATGATAACGAAAGTAGGGGTGTTTACTTGGGCTGAGGTCCTATTTACTGTAGATCCCAGAGGCCGTGTTGAGAAAGCCTCGTCCGAGCCTCAGGCTGGTTACTACATCGTCATCGATCCCCACAGAAACAACAGACGGTAACACATTCCGCGCTACGAACTTCAGACCCTTAGCTGTCCATTTACTTTGCTGAGTTCGTATCAGCACCAAAGGCCCGTTTTAGAGGTGGCTCCGGCCATGAAAAGGCAGGCCCCGCGTGATCCACACGGGGGTGCAGCTTGGCTTTTAGCAGCCCTTCCGAAAGCAACACTCCCCTCTCCTCCACCACCTGCAGAGAAGTTCAAACCCTCACCCCAGCAGCTCTCATCACCAGACAAGCTAGCCTGGACGCAGGGATAGGTTCTTTGATGTGTGACCTATGCCTTCCCCAACTGCTAACCGTCTATTGTCCAGAGGGACCCCCTTGAAGGCAATTCCACAGCCCACTGAACTTCCTAATGGAAGTCAGGGGTCTGCTGCTGGCTTCGGCTGTCACTGTTTCTGGAGAAGGGCCTCCCGGGGCTCTTCAGAATGGAAGGATGCTAGGATCTCTGTGGCAGCAGGTTGGAACCAACGCGACATGGGGGGAGAATGGGATCCGTACCAAGGCCAGTTTCATTCTAACGGGGGTCTCGCTCCTAATCTCACGTCGACACCCTCCCTTCCTCTCGACCACAGTGAGATCAGCTCTCAGAAGTCGCAGGCCACGGTCTACTCACAGATCTCCTCGGGTCTTCCTCTTGCCGCTGGATTGAAGGAACTGCTTTCTGTAGGACTCGGGAGTGAAGGGGTTAATGTTAACCAGCGCTGAGGAGGTCATTTCATCTGTGAAGGAACCCGGTGTGAGCCTAAAATGCTTGGAGCCTCGGGAGGGCAGCTTCCCTGTCGAAGAAAGCGCAGGCTGGCTCGGCTGGCCCTGCACGGGGATGACAACAGGCAAATCAGAATGAAGTTGGTAAAAAAAAAAACAACTTTCCCTATCAGCTAGCTAGTTAATATTTGAATCCAAAGACTGTTACTGCGGAAAAGGGCCTCAGAGGTTATCTGGTTCAGTGCAAACTAGTTGCTTCATAACTGGTCCTCTGGTGAAAAGCACGGGATCCCGGTCTACCCCTGGATATTCCGATCATGGCACCAACACAGGCATCGGCTTCGCTCTGCCTTCCCCTGGGAAGTGCCGATAGGCAGCCAGGAAAACCACCGAACCTAGTCCCACCTCCAACTTCGTGAGGTTGACATCGAAGCTTAGACAAGAGAAAGCCCTTGTGTCCTCGGAGTGAGTCCTTTACCTTCCCCTCATTCCTTCATCACAGCGTGTGTCTGGGGCCCACTAAGCAGCAGATTCTGAGCAGAATGCCGTGAGGGTGCAGAGGTGGATTCGCGCTCTTAAGGGATGACGGTCCGTTAGGGAGCAGTTGGTTGATGTTTCAGAAATCATCACTTTGAAGGAAGAAATTTCCAATTCCTCTTAAAATGTAGGCACTGAACGAGAAGAGCTCCATGAACGAGGGTGAAAAGCGGAGCAGGATCCCTCTAAGCCCTGCAGCGTCAAGGTTTTACAGCGGCTGTAACTAACATGCGAATACAAGAGTGTGCAGGACTTACCACCCCGACTAGGTAACAGCGAGAGAACACAGGCCTAAAGCATACCCAGAACTAAACCAAAAGCAGAGGCAGAGGTCAAAGACAGAGAATTCTGATGAGACAGCAGAACACCATTGTGACCTAAATGTCAGGGGTCAGTGGAATACCTGTGTTATTATAGGCCCTCAGGTACACGGGAGACGGGGGCCATGATGTAACCTCATAGTATAAGCATCGCACTGTGAGGCTCATTCTGAAAGAATTCTGCTCTTCTCATAGTCTCTGCCTGTGAGTTCAGTGTAGAGGCAGAAGGTAGATTTCAACACGATTCTCTACATACAAATGGAATTAAAGAATGTGAGGCTACAAGAAATGAATAATGAACTTGTACATACTCCTAAATGATTCAAGCAGAAATAAAGGAAGCTATAAAGCACACACAGTAAGCAAACACTTTTTTAATTGATTTTAAAGAGAGAGAGTGAGAGAGAGAGAGGAACATCGATGTGAGAGAGAAACATAGATCAGTTGTCTCTCATTCCCACCCCAACTAGGGGTTCAACCCGAAACCTGGGTATGTGCCCTGACCAGGAATTGAACCTGCCTCTTTTCAGTGTGCAGGATGGTGCTCCAAACAACTGAGCCACTCTGGCCAGAGCACTAACTTTTTTTTTTTTTTTTCTTTATTGATTTGAGAGAGAGAAGAAGAGAGAGATAGAAACATTGATGAGAGAGAACATTGATCGGCCGCCTCCTGCATGCTCCCCACTGGGGATTGGGCCCACAACCTGGGCATGTGCCCTGACCTGGAATCGAACCCAGGACCTCTTGGTGCATGGGTCAATGCTCAACCACCGAGCCACACCGGCAGGCATAATGGAAAAGAAGATATTGTCAGAGTCGAGTTTTTATAAGGGTTTTATATATGTCTTAGAATTCAAAGGATAAACCACCCTGGGGCTATAGTCGAGAAAGCCATCAATGACAAACTCACTATCTTCCTATAAGTTTGTTATAGGGCTGAGTATTCATTCAAAAGAAGTACAACTGTACAGTATTTCTCAGCTGTCACTGTGATTCAGGCAATGAATTTAGAATGATAGCAAATCACTATTTGAGGAACAGTTTCTTTGTGATGCCGATTATCATATGGAAAGTCAAGCGCATCCATCATCTAGGACGGGGGGGGGGGGGTGCATCCACACCCAGATGGCTGCCCGAGTTGTGGCTGCCACACCTCCAGGACAACGGAACAGGCCTGGACATTGTTCAGATCAAAGGAAGGAAACGTATTCTCCTCAGGGCAGACGACATCAGAATTCATAGTTTGGACACGTAAATACTGATAGATTTTGTGAGCTCTACTTAAAATAGAGGGAAGGATATTCATTATATTAATAAGGATTGCAATGCCAGAATGGCAGAATTATGAGTAATCCTTTTGAAACCTAAAAGAGCATAGTTTGGGACAAGGATTATGAAAGGACCTCCATAAAAGTAAAGCAGATTGAAATTTTCTGGAAAGATGACCAGGTTGAGAGTATAAATATGCTCCCGAGAGTGGAGCTAATTCCACAAGTAACAACAGCTCGATGACAGATGATTAAGAGAAAGGAAGGAAATTTGGGGACTAGCTCCCTGACTTCTGAAGATGGAGTGAGAAGGCATTCCACCCTCCCACGGAGGCTCATCATAGTGTCTTGGGCCTGGGAAAAACTTTGAAGGCCCAGTTGGTGTTAGTGCTCTGATGCTTGAATCCCTTCTACATTCCTACCAGATGGTCAGGTGCTTTACTATGTCCCAAGGAAGCTCTTCTATCTCGATCTGCCTCTCCCCTGCTAGGAAGTCCTATAGTGAGCTGAAGTCATTTTGCATGGTTTCTGGTCCTATCCCTTGGGCAAGGCTGAACGACCCAGCATTTCCTTTCCCATGCTTCCTCGGCCTCTCTCCTCTGACCCTGGTCCACACTATGTTTTTCATAAGGCATGGATTTTCCCAGTTGCATTTCCTGTTTCCCTCCCAAAGGCTGCTCTCTGCCTGTCCCTCGGATCTTGGCCTTATCCAAGATTCCTCACTCGAACCACTTCTCACATTCAGGCTACACGCACGTATCCATACCCAAAGCTTCAGCATCTCCCTAAATGCCGATGGTATCCATCCATATGGACATCTCCAACTTAGATGGTCTTCCTGTACTCTACACCCATGCATCCCATTATTTACATGGCCTCCCTGCTTTTTCCAAACCTGTACCCCCTCTACTGTCACCTGTCTTGACTCATGGTGCCATGTACTCAAACAAGCAGGAGGTCTGGCTGCACCCCGGGTCTTTCTCTCTCTCCTTCCCTCAACTCCTCCGTCAAGTCAGTTACCGATTCACTGCTGTTGTAATTCAGGTCCTTCTCCCTTCTCAGCAGATCCACTGCGAATGCTGCCCTGCCTCCAGGATCTCTCCTGCTCCTTTCCATCCTTCCTACAAGGGTCGTGATTTTTCTAAGACGCCTCTGCTCAAAACCAGTCCATGGCCCTCTCAATACCTCTAGGATAAAACCTTGATCTACCTCCTGCCGCCCAGCTGTGGCCTCACTGCCTGCCTGTTCTCTCGCCTGCAGCCCCGTCACACTGAGTGACATGCAGTCCCCTAAGGGCAGCATGGCCTCCCCTCCCGCCATGATTCAGTAGATGCTTTTCCCTTGGCCTCAGGTTCTCATTCCCTTCCTCTTCGCCCGGTGGACGCCACCTCACTCTTGAGGGCTTCTCTCAAACATGGCTTTCCTGGGAAAGGCTGCTCGGATATCTTGAGTTGATTCCGGATTCTCTCTCAGCATGCAGCACCACGCCTCCAGTCCACCCGATCTGAACTTTATTGTTTCAGTTGTGTGTTTATCTTGATTTTGTGGACACTCTTTGCAGGCAGCAAATGGGTGTGACAGCAGAGGGTCAGCTAGCGTACCAAAGTGTCCACTTTCCAACAAGCGAATGAAGTATATGTCATGTTCTCTTGCCTGTGTACTTCTGCTCGGCACCACCTCCTCTCAGCCCACTCTCTGCCTCCTTTCTGTCAGAACCATACCAACTTCCACTGACCTTCCCATGCTTCCTCCACCTTTGTTTCTTTCCCGATCACCCCAATGAGAAGCAGTCCACCCAGTGAACTCGGACCAATCTTGAAGCACCTATCACGTAGTCTCTGGTGCGTCTCCTCTCTCTGAGACTGTGGCTCATGCTCCCTGCCCACAGGGTGTTCTCAAAAAAAAAAAAAAAAAAAAATCAGTGGATTGATTGGTTGGTGTTGGGACCATTGAATACACTTCAGATGGGCACATGAGCATGTTAGAGTCGTTTGTCCACAGTTCAGACGAGAAGCTGAGTATTTCTCGCAGTCACGCTGCCCATACTCAGCAGGTACTCAGGAGACCTGCAGACAGCCACTGCTACCATCAGAAGCACAGATGTTTCAATGATGATCTTAAGTGCCTCAAGCTGCGCCAGCAGAAAGCAGGACTAATACCAGTCCCGAGGCTCACACCCCATGGCACCAGGTTGTTAGAGGTCACCCAGCCCAGCCCTGGCTCCAATAACATGAAAAATAAAGCAGGGGACCAGTCACAACAAGAGTAAAGGAATATCTAACGACCCGGGACCGTGGCTTCTTTGCAATCCTCAGTTCATACAGAAGCGTCCACAGGCTACCTCTTTGCTCACGTAGAAGAGCCTGGACTTAAGGAGGCCCCGAGGGGAGAGGACTTCCTTCCGGGAAGGGCGGCAGCAAGGAGGTGTGAATATGTTCAAACAGTGAGTGGGAGCATTCTGACACCAGGAAATAGTCGTAAATGATCACATAGAAATAGAGCCAGTTGGTGTCATGGAGAGAACAGACTAAGACCACAAGTTCAGGTGTCTTGTCCTGTCTCCACCATCGGCTGAGCAGAAAGCCAGTCCGTCTCCTGAGGCCCTGATTTTCTCCTGTGTTGGGCGCCTGGGTGGGGCTCTAGATCTCAATGTTCCTTCCCGCCCAGTGTTCTTTACCTGGGAACTTACCCCGCCCGCCACGTGTTTGTGGCCTCCCGCCAAATACATAGTTGCTGGCACCAGTGGTTTTGAGAAGACAGCTGGGAGACATTTAATTCTGTTTTCGGGCAACCTGAAACTCTTCTTCATGTTCGCCAATAACCAGGTGATTGGGGATAAGACAGCCTGGGGCCAATTCTGTCCCACCCGCATGAAGGACCAAGTCCTCTTTATCTGCTGAGCGGAAGGAACCCGGGCCCCCCACTGCCACAGGTACTCACTTTGGGGGTGAAGGGACTCTCACAGTGCAGCTTGCTTCTGTCACTTGGCGGGTCTGGTGTTGCAGGGCACTTGGGAGATTCTGACACCAGAGTCCTCACAACGGGCTCTGGACTCACTCCGTGTTTTTCCGGAGAGGTGTGGCGTTCACGAACTCGAGCGAGGGGTGTCCGGGGAGGTGTAGACCTGGCCTCGGGGTCCTGAGCTTCGGAATGCTCTGGGGTGCAGCTCCCGGCCCCCCAGCCCTCCCGCGCTGCCTCCTGGTGGTCCTTCTCGCTCTCTTCTTCACAGCAGGAGAAGTTTAACTTCTGCTTTAGTTCTCTGTTGATGCTGTTGTCATCCATCTCGGCCAGAGAGGTTACAGCGTGGGCACGGAGGCTGTCCGAGGGAACAGTCACAGACGCAGAGCAGAAGGCAGAAGGTCAGCCGGCAGGGCCTGCAGTCCTTGCCCACTGCTCCCTCCGCCCACGAACCCCACATGGAGACACGCCATTCATTTTCTCCCTTAAGTACCACATGGCATGAGCTCTCAGCTTGTCCTTATTTCCATTCTGATTACAGGCAGCGCCAGCTACTCCGTGAGCAATTAAATCCAACTGACGTGAAAGCTTTTCTGGGTATCACCGGTCCTCTCCCTGAGCCCACGTGCTACCCAATGCTAGTGTGATGGTGGAGTCCGTTCCTTCAGCACGGATTTTAGAGCACCCAGTAGTCAACCTGGGAACAAGCTCATGACTGGCAAGAAATGCTTTTCACTGGTTGACACCTGCCATTCAGAAACCCCACTCTCCCCTCCTCCACTCCCTGCCGTGGCTAAGAGGAGTCATTAGAATTCAGATGCACCTGGATAGAACACTCATCCTTAAACAGCCTGTAAGGTATCTAGGCTGGAGTGCATCTCCCCAGTGGAGGCATGTCTTAGATCCTTTTTGGATACACCTGCCTTGATTCAGGCACCCCACTATGCCCCCGCCCCCCGGCCACCTCCAGGTATTGATAGTTCAAGCTTTTAAGGAAACAGACACATTTTCAAACGGACCAAAAAAAAAAAGCTAGAAAGATTAGTAACACATAGAAGCAGATATGTATCCCTCGAAAATAACAGTTACTTCATTCCCAATGCCTTATTTTATGAAACATGTTTTCTTACTGGTTGGATATCTTTAGAATACATTATTCAATTTCTTCCTCAGAGAGGCCCCCATGGGAAGGGTGAAAACTCTTTGAAGAAAAGGAAGTCACCCGCATCACTTCCTAAGAGGAACCACGTGAAAGGCAATCCACGGAAGGGGGCAATGTCACACACAGGTTCCTCCACAGACGTGAGGAAGTATTTACATGATAAGCGTGGGCCCAAAGAAAGGCGCTGAGGACAAGTTGGATCTTGACCAAAGCAAACTTAATTTTTCTTCTCTTGATCGTCTTTAGCTCCCTTGTGCCTGTTGCCCCTCCTTCATTTTCTCCGTCTCCACCAGTCCATCCCACCCTCTCCTCTCTCATTCCTTTCCCATCACAGACCTGCTTCCCCAGACCTCACTGCAGTCCATTCTCCGCCCAGTAGCCAACGGGATCCTTTTGAAAGGATCCTGCCCTCGGCTCCTCCAGGGCCTCCCACTTCACTCAGAAGACACAGCCAGCCCCACAGGGCCCTAGGACCCCTCCCCCAACCTAACTTCTGCTCCAGACTCCTCCTGTCTCTCCAGATGCCAGTCTTCCCGATGTGCCTCAGGTGTCTCCGCAAAGGGCATTTATCAGGGAGGTCTTCCCAGCAGCCCCAAACAGTCCCATCACTCATCCTCTGGCCCCCTACCCTGAGTCACGTTTCTTCACAGCACTTACAGCGGCATCATCTATTACATATCTAATGGTTCATTTAAAAACTTGTGTCTCAGGTGTCTGGGGGGGAATAAAAGAAAAACAAAACAATAAAAATCTTGCAATAAGAAAAAAAAAAAAAGGACTTGTGTCTCCCCCATCCCACCCCCCACTAGAATCTAAATTCCATGGGGACAGGCACGTCACTCTTACTCGATATTGTTTCCATGACCTGGAACAGGGCCTGACACACAGTAGGTGCTATGACGCAAGGTGCATGCTCTGCATTCTGTGCGCCCTCGTGGTGGGCGCTGCTGCAGGATGAACATCTCTTATGAGCTTTCCACGTTTTAATTCTCAACTCCAGTGCAGATCTCAGAGGCCCGAGAGGCAGCGCTACGTTGATTTCAAATAGCTTAGTAACTTGGAGCACACATTCTATTGTATTAATCCCTACACCAACCTGAGCTCAGCCTCTCGGGTAGTGAGTTACTATCCCTTCCACTTGGGATTCACCAACGAGTGCCTGCAGCCCAGGTGACTTGGGAGAAGTGAAAGGAAATATCAGTGCAGGCGGCGCTGATGTGACAGCTACTGTGGGCTCGGGTACAGAATACATGTTAGGAAGTCGGGAGTGTGAGGCAGATCAGAAACCCCAGGATGTCTCTGGATGGCTTTGGTTCCTCAGTATCTGGCTGTGGGACTTAAGTTCATGGGACCCATAAGGGTGAAACTAGTCCTTAAACCTTTAGGAAGATTGTTTTCCTCATCTCCTCCATTCACATTCTTAATTTCACCCTGTTGCACCTCAGCTGGTCCCAAGATCTGAACTCCTGTCGGGACCGCTCGGATTTGCCCAGATCAACTAATTATGCAGCTCGGCCGTGGAGGCAGAGTAACCCAGTCCTTACCTGGATGGAAGACTGTTCCTGGCAGAGAGAATAAAATGGCTTAGTTATAAAAGTGTGTCGATTCTTCTCCAGTAAATACCTAACTCATGCCATTTAAATGGGGGGGGGTCACTTTTTCCTTTTTTTGAAACTGGGTAAGATGATTTTAAATTTCACAAGGAAAAATAATTGTCAAAGAAATAGCTGAAGATTTAAAAAATAGAGTAGAGAAGACTACCTCTCTCAGTAATAAAACTTTGCATTATACCTGCATATTATTTTATGTACATACAATTAGTGTGGCACTAGTATAAGAATAGACAGGTCAATGGTGAAGAATACATAGATTAGTAAATATCAGTACTTCGATTGTATTTATTTTTTAATAGTTTATTGACTTTTTTTTTTCTTTTAGAGAGAGAGGAAGGGAGAAGGTGAGAGAGAAATATTGATGTGAAAGCATGCAAAATCGATTGGCTGCCTCTGGCATGCCCCCTACCAATGATTGAACCCACAACCCAGGCATGTGCCCTGACGGGAAATCAAACTGGCAACCTTTCAGTGCACGGGATGATGCTCCAACCTACTGAGCAACAGCAGCCAGGGCTAATATTGTACTTTAAAGGGGACGTATAAAACCTGAACGATTTATTTAATAAGTGGTGTAGTAATTATTGGTTAACTAGTTAATAAAAATTTTTAGTCTCACTTCATATCACAATATAAATATTGAATAGCTTAAGAGATTAAATCTGGAAAATCAATCTATAAATAACTAGAAGAAAATAAAAATGAATGTTGATACAATCTCTGGGTGGAATCAACTTTCCAAACGTCAGAGTAGCACAAGGAATCACCCACTCTTCTTCCTGCTGTGAAGAAGAGAGTGAGAAGGACCACCGGGAGGCAGCGCAGGAGGGCTGGGGGGCCGGGAGCGACACCCCAGAGTTTGACTACCTGAAATTTAGAATGTCAGTATTTCATTAAGCAGCTAAGCAGCATTGAAAGCATGCAGTACATTGGAAGCGATATTATGAAAAAAATCACGCTAGGGAAAAGGTGAGTATCCTCAGTGCACACAAACGGACAAGCAAACGAACAAGGGCATCAAGACCCCACAGGACACGTGAGCAAAAGGTGTCATGAACATCAGTGCGCTGAAGAGGGACCACGGCCACCAGCATATATTTGGAACCTATGATTAGATTCAGTCACAAAACATTGTCTTTTTGTTAATCCTTACCCAAGGATATTTTTCCATTGATTTTTTTTTTTTTTTTTTTTTTTTTTGAGAGAGTGGAAGGGAGGGAGGGAGAGTGAGAGAGGGAAACATCAATATGAGAGAGAGACATCGATTGGTTGCCTCCCATCGACCCCAACCGGGGATTGAAACTGCAACTCAGGTGCATGCCTTTGATGGGGAGTCAAACCCAAGACCCTTTGGCCCGTGGGCTGATGCTCTAACCACTGAGCCAAAGTGGCCAGGGCACAAAGCATTATCTTAAAATGTCATGTTCATCTGAAAAATTGGCCAACAATGATTTTAAATGTCAATATCTGACTTGGACAAGAGCGGGATGAAGCTGATGCCCGTGTACACTTGCGAGTCAACAATTTGACAGTACAGCCGAGACCCTTAAGAACATGAGTACCGGTTAGCCCCGGCGCTCACACCTCTGGCAATCTGTCACCGTCAGCAACCTCCATGGCTGACTGCACTTGCCCTGCCTGTCACCCTCACTCTAGCCTTCATTTCTTGCCTGCTCGCTGCCTTCCCTGCCAGGCTGTAAGCCTGATGAGAAGGGGTGGCTGTCTTCACAGCAGGACTTGGCAGAAAATAGGCACCTAGCATTAGTTCAGAGTGAAATTCAGCCAGTGCTTTGGACACAACGGGGGGGGGGGCGCTTGATCATCCAACAATGAGAGGGAGAATGGTTAAGAAAATTTTCAAACATACAATGAAAACCACTAAAATAATGCATACGAAAACTTCGAATCCGATGGCAAAATGGTCGTGTCCTGATGTCAGAAAAATAAAAATACAAAATCAATATGCAGTATGATTTCTACATGTAAATATAGAAAAGAAACAGAACTAAATGTATCATCTATTTTAAGATACACCACTATTTACATGCCACTAAGAATAAAAAATGCCCAAGATGGGGAATCTAATAGGATACACTGTATACAACAGTGACAAATAGCCCTCCCGTGCAGAGAGGGCTGGGCAAGGAAACTTGGTTACCTCCTCTTTGCCATTGGGTGGAGGGAGAGAAAACCTCACCAAGGAACATGAACTATAATCCAGGGACCACCCTAGCTTGCGTTTTAAATTCATACTCCCAGCACGGTTCAAAGAACCTCAAGCGGAGAATTTAACTCAAAATCGTCTTGGGTTGGTAATGCCTCCAGATGGCCAACAAAAGCAAGCCTGAATCTCCCCCCTGAGAACTGGCCTCGGCGGGGCCGGCAGCAGCTGTGACTCACCTGCCAGGGCAGTGTGAACAAGTAAGCATTTTGCATTCTAGAACCGATGAAAGAAGACCAGCAAAATCTGAACAGGGGCCAATTCAGTGGTGAGATTATAGATCAAAAATACTCTTACATAATGTATTCTATGTACACACTAGGTTTTTATATATTGTAGACATGTTTAGATAATGTGGATATATTTTACATAATGTATTTTATACAGTGAAGCGATAGTATTTGGAAAGTCAAGTAATTTTATTTAAACATTTTGACATACAGAGTTCTCAAGGAACTCATTTAAAAAGATAACATTATTTGCCCTGGCCGGTTTGGCTCAGCAGTTAGAGCGTCGACCTGCAGACCAGAGAGACCAGGTTTGGTTACCGCTAAGGGCATGTACCTTGGTTGCCGTTTGTCCCCGGCCCCAGTTGGGGTTGGGTGGATGGCAATAGATATGTCTCTCTCACATTGATGTTTCTCTCTCTCTCTTCCTCCCTCTCTTCCTCCCACTCTATCTGAAGAGAAATGCAAAAATGTCCTCAGGTGAGGATAAAAAAAGTTAAAAAAAAAGAAAACATTATCACCCTGGCCAGTTTGGCTCAGCAGTGAGAGCTTCCCCACTCAGACCAAAGAGTCTTGGGTTCAATTCCAGTCAAGGGCACATACCTCAGTTGTGGTTCGATCCCCAGCCCTGGTTGGGGTCATGTGGGAGGCAATCAATTGATGTGTCTCTCTCTTCTCTCTCCCTCCCTCCCTCCCTCTCTATCTGAAAATCAGTGAAAAAATATTCTTGGGTGAGGATTAAGAAAAAAAAGCTAACATTATTCCAGGATCTCTGGAATGAGTCATTCCTGCTTGCTCTACACACTCACTTCCCACGGGAGCTATTCAAAGAGTTAAATTCAGTGAGTTCCCTTCCTGTCATCTTGTGAAACCCAGTAGACACAGAGAAGACACATCTAATGGTCAGACTGAATTATTAACATTTTTGAGCACCTATCATGTGCAAGCTACTAGGTTAACGCTGGAGGGCCAGTTGTACAGATGTATAAATCTCTACTTTCCTTCACTGTTCAGTTGACAAATACTTGGTGAGCACCCGTCATGCAAGGCCTGGGGATCCGAAGGAAAACACATGAAGACTGGAAGAGGCACTAGGCTTAGGGTTTGGACATTTCGGTCTTCTGCTTAATAGAAAATTGATTGGGATAGGTATTATGAGTTTATCGCCTGGTTTATATACAGCTTGAGGATATTAAACTAGGGGATGCTGGGGGAGGGGGCAGGACTCTACACAAAAGATCAGGAGAGGGAAGTCAGACCTAAAACTGGTGGCTTTGGACATTGATTAAGAGCCCCTGTTTTGTATTTTCGAACATGGTGAGGAGAGAGACTTGTTCAGATACCTAATTCCCCCAACGTTCAGGAAGGTGGTCAGCTCACCCCCTCTCAGAAGGCCCGAGGATTCATGCCAGGTTTTACTCAGAGGGTGATTGTGAAAATTCTTAGCCTATGTGCCAGAGACGCAATGATAATATGATTTAACCCCTCTTCCCAAGGAGGTAATCAACGACTGCCCAAGGCTGCTACTTCCAGGCTAAAACTACGATATACCAATAAAAATTTTATTTATGCAGCATTTCATCCAAAAAGAATAGGAATTGCTTTTATCATTTATAGATTTAGTTCAACCTTTCCCCAAGCCCCAAGGACAAGTGACCATCCGCCACGCTTTGTGGAGACTTAGCCTGAAATGGATGGGGAGCCCAGCCCCCGCCGCCAGGCAGGCTCCAGGAAGGCCAGGGCACTATCCGGCCCATTCCAGGGCACACCCCAGGCTGGGGTTACGGACACACTACACCAGGCCAGGCACCGAAGCTCCCGGCTTCAGGACACCAGGCCCCTTCCCACCAGGCAGCCGGTGCTTTCTCTTCTGCCTCACGTCCCAGCACAGCGCGGGCTTTGGCCACACATCCAGGATTATGTAATGCACATCTGCCACGGTCCATATGACAAGAGGACTTTCAAAAACAATGGTGACATATCCAGATGAACGGTGGCACAGTTATCCCACGAATCCTAGGTGAGAAGGCGCCGTCAGCCAGGCACAGGTGGATGCGCGTCCTGCCACCCCACGGCGAGGCCCGGCTCGCGTGGGCGTCCGCGCGCAGCCCAGGCGCGCAGCCCGGGAAGCCTGCGGGAAGGACGCCCGCGGGGAGGCGGGGCGGGGCGGCGGCAGGTGCGGGCCTGGGCGGCGAGCGCGGGCCGCCGGCCGGAGGGGAGTTCCGCGGCCCGCCCCTGCGCCCGCCCCTCTCGCCCGCGGCTCCTCCTCGCTTCGCCATGGTGGAGCGGGGCGACGCGGCGCCGCTGCTGCGCTGGGCCGAGGGCCCCGCCGTGGCCCCGCCGCAGGCCCCGGAGCTGCAGGCTGGAGGCCGGGGATGGGGCGGCAGTAGGGGCGGCCGGGAGGCCGCGGAGCCGCCGAGGCGGCGGGAGCCCGAGGAGCTGGGCGCCTCCGAGGTGCTGCTGCAGCCTGGGCGCCTGGAGCTGGGCGACGTGGAGGAGGACCAGGTGGTGGCCGTGTTCGTGGTCACCTTCGATCCCCGCTCGGGTGAGAGCCTCTGCGGGAGGGGGCGGGAGAGGGTCCCCCCAGCCACCGGGCTTGGGGCGGCGGGGGAGGGGCTCGCTGCGCGCGCACCCGCATCCACACATCTGCACCCCCACCCGCCGCCGGGCTCCTGCGGAGCCAGCAGGTTGTCCCCAGGAGGTCTGGGCGCGGGGCGCGGGGCTTTGTTCCCTGCACCCTCCGAACCCATGTCCCTTCGTCCGGCTGCTCCTCCGCGGACCGCAGTCCGCGCCCCCTCCCCACTGTCGTGTACGCGCTGCTCCGGTGATGGAGGGTCCTGTGTGTGGCCACGGGCTCGCTGGCTTTGGTTTTCTTGATTGGCTAAAGGGGTGTGGGTGGGTGTGGGTGCGAGTGTTTCCCCCCTTTAAGGGGAGGAACGCCTTCAGGGTAACTACTGAAACTGAGTGTCCTAAGCGTCCCTGCCCTCGGTCCCCACCTGTCCCTGGATGGTAACTTTCCAAGCGGCCAACTTCCCTTTCTCGGACGTATTACTTTGAGGAATTAATGCCGGAGGCATTCAGGGATGGGGTTGAGGAACTAAGCTGGAGAACGATGAAAGAAAAGGGAAGCCTACTCGGTAGGCTCTTGCCGGGGTGTTTGAGGAAGGAAGGGGTTATGCACATAACCTTTGGCCGGCCCGCCCACTCAGGGAGTGTACACCTGAGTGGTGGGAAACCTCAGGGGGGTCAGAGGGGGTGAATGGATGCCCCTGGGAGAGCTGGTCATTATCGGGCGGGAGAGCTGAGGTGCGATTCTGGGGTTTAAGAAAACCCAGATGTGTGTCTGCATCACTCCAGTGGAGCTGCTGGAATGTGGAGTGTGGAGTGAAGGACACACCTCTACTTTTCTGTGGGTTCCCTTCCTGGTCCCCAGCAATGTGTGGACCCCATTCTGAAGAACTTGAAGGGTGCCGTGCAGTGGGAGGAAACGGGGTGAGCACCCTGAGAGGGGGTTGCAGACAGGGCGGATGGTTCCTGCAGTGGAATTAACTTCAGACAGGGATTATTAACTAGCTAGACACAGGAAGTGGCTATTTGGGAAGAGGAGCCCAGGCCTTCCTGACTTTGTTCCTTGGCCCCATCCCAATGGCTTTCTAACTTTTTTGACTGTGACCCACCCTATGCAATTAATTTTATATGACAACAACACACTCAGGCAAAAGTTTCATGAAACAGTACCAACCCCTCCTACATGCAGTGCATACTGATACTTTCTATTCCCTTGGTAAAAAATTTTATGCTATTCACACATTGATTGGCATGTGGTTAGGCCACCCAGATACCAGTAGTTTGAAAAACTCCTCTTTTTTGACCAAAGTAACCCTTACTGCCAGACCAAAACAGATACTTTGTAACTAATAATATTCATTATGCCAGACCCCATTACCTACCAGTAAATATAGCAGGTCCTCCAATAACATTGTTTCCTTCAACTGGTTTCGTTACAATGTTAATGAGAAAGAAAAAAAAGTATTCCAGACCAGGGTAACTGTCTGTGGAGTTTTCATATTCTCTCTATTTCTACACGGGTTTTCTCCAGGGACTCCAATCCTGAAACCCACCCCCAGTCCCAGAGATGTGCACATGAGGTGAATGGCATGTCTCAGTGGTCCCAGGCGGTGAGTGTGGGTGTGTGTGCCCCCTGTGATGGAAGGGCATCTGGTGGCTTCCCACCAGTAACCTGAGCTGCCAGGAGAGACTCCAGCCACCTGCTACCCTTACCTGGAATAAGGGGGTTGGAAAAGAATCATTTTACTTGTTTGTATTAACCTTCCTTAAATGCATATATAGCTAACATTTATTTCAGTGTTTCATATTTGAAGTGTTTGGGGTCTTTATTTAGAAATTTGGTAATATTTTGTGACTAGAAATATGTCATAGGAACTTAACTCTTGTTTATATCAATTAACCGTTGGTAAAATTGGTTTCATTATATGTCGTTTTGCTTTCACGTGTCAGTTTCCAAGACCCAAGGGACAATGTTAAATGAGGACTTACTGTTGTTGATGGGAGGGGGCGTGAAATGCATTCTGGGAAGTGTTAAAGAGTAGCAGAAGCAATGGAACATGAACAGCATCTGATTTAGCAGTGGTGGCTCCGGCAGTGGAGTTTATGGAGAGGAAGGAGAAAAGAATATTCTATATTAACCACAGATGGTGTTGATCACATTGAAAAGCAGAGCCGGGACCCTTGCCCTGCCTTGTCAGTCACAGATGGTGAGCATGGTGTCATGGTTTGTGCGCTGTAGACACAGGTGTGTAAGTGTAATGGTTTTCAGATTAAGGTTATTGTGGAAGAAGGAAATGTAAATGATACCTGGATACTTACTTTACATAGGTAGGCATTTTACTGTAATGGTGTTTCATTTGATTCTAATTACCACTGTTATTTGAGGATCATCTATACGTAGTTTATACATGAGAGCATAATTCTTCTGGATACGGGAGAAGTGAATAATTCTTTTATACATTTAGATGCAAGGTTTGGAAAGCTGGGTTGGGCATCTCGAGAAAAAATCTGAGACAAGGGTAGAGGTGTAAAATATGTTCTTTCCAATGGAATCATGGTTTGAAAATGATGGTTGTTGGATCTACAAATGATGTGAGGACTTAGGGGCTTGCTAGTGTTTATTCTCTCTCTCTCTCTCTCGTCCTCTCTCTCTCTCGTCCTCTCTCTCTCTCTCCCACCCTCACACACACACACACACACACACACACACACACAGTCACACACTCAGCCTTTATCTGGAGCAGGGAGCCCCTGGGATGGCAGTGCTGGCCATCTGGGCTACAAAGCTGCTATTGAAACCGGGCCCAGTTGCTAACTGTGCGAGCTGGTGGGAGAGGTCGCAGCCAGAATATTGCTTTCTCCTGTGTTCAGCCCATTATTTAGAGCCTTGACTTTAAGGGAAAAGGCATTGTCACACTTGGAAATCAGCCCTCTTCCTGTCCATGGAGAGGACATAGCTGTCTCACCATGTGACTGAGGACTTGTGTGTGGGCCTGAGTCAGACAAAGCTTCGAACCTGCAAAGCTTGACACCTGTGAATCTGTCTCATTGGACTGTTTCTTTCTGGGATTCCCTTTGAATGGCTACATTTCCCCCAGAGTTATTTTGTGGGTGGGTGTGGGAGATTTCTATGCTGTGTGTGTTTGTATTGGGGCAGGTTGGGGGGGGGGGGTTGGCTGAGGTTTTTAAGATATTTTTTCCCCTTTTTCTCCTGATTAGGGGTGAATTACTACCTGTTCTTGCCCCAGGCTCTACCAGTGCCTAAATTACATTTCAACACCTATTTCATTTAGTGCATCTGAATGCCCTTATGTTTATGTCAAATGAGTGTACAAAAATCACTCACACCAATTGTAATCTCCATACACTCTCTGTGTTGTCAGTGAAATACAAGCATTTCTTTTAGGCACTGGGATTAGGGCTGGGTGTGGTGTCTGGGGCTTGGCTTGGATGCTGCCCGGGTCATCTAACTTGCGCAAACAGTAAATGGCTCCAGCCTTGGGTGGGAAAGTGACAACGTGGAATGAGAATGGAACATCAGGAGCATCATTTTGAGATGCAAAGAGCAGTCCTGAGAATGGCTGGCTGAAAGAGGCCAAAAGAAGGCCAGTCTGGGAGCCAACAGGAGCGTCTGTTAGGATGATCCCCTCTGCCATGTCCCTTCTCCGCAGCTGCCATCAGACGGCAGTGAAATTCAATTGTGGCTGATTTCACTAATCCCACAGTGGCAGGACCTTTCTCCGGCTGGTGGTGACTCACCTGCTGTGGTTTTCAGAGAGAAGTCAATTTGTGAGCTGTGAATTCTGTTTCTTGAAAGTCTGTGGAGAGAAACGTAGGACTGGGAATTCAATGCCCACCAGGTACTGAGTGCCCATCGTGTGTCAGGAACTATGCTGGGCATTTTCTTTTTCTTTTTTTTATCCTCACACAAGGACATTTTTGTATTTATATTCAGACAGGGAGGGAGGGAGGGAGCGAGAGAGAGAAACATTGACGTGAGAGAGACACATTGAGTGGTTGCCACCCACACCACACCACCCGAGGTTGGGGACAAACTGCAACCGAGGTACGTGTCCTTAGCAGGAACCGAACCCGGGACTCTCTGGTCCGCAGGCCGACGCTCTAACCGCTGAGCCAAACCGGCCAGGGCTATGGTGGGCATTTTCAAGGACCTTGACTCTAATCCTTTCAATGATCTTCTCTGTAATGAGAAAAACTGACAAACAGAATCTAAGTCATCTTATGTCACAGAGCAGAGAGGGACAGAGCCTGGAGGTGATCCGGGCTGACCTGTCTCCAGTGCCTGACCTCCTTCCCACCCCACACTGCCCAGAGTAAAATGAAACCTGTCTGCGACACAGATGGTTTTTTCCACGTAAAACGAACGCACTGGAATTCAGCCCTGGATTGGCACGTGGCTGACTTGAAATCACCAGGATGAATGAGTTTCTTTCTACCCCAAGTTTCTGTATACTGCCTCTCTCTTCCTTTGCTTTGGATATGTCCTCATCCTAGGTGATTTTAAGACTACATATTTAGCCCTGGACGGTTTGGTTCAGCGGTTAGAGGGCTGCCCCATGGACCAGAGAGTCCCGGGTTCGGTTCCCGCTAAGGGCACGTACCTCGGTTGCAGTTGTCCCCAGCCCTGGTTGGGTCGTGTGGGTGGCAGCCAGTAAATGTGTCTCTCTCACCTCGATGTTTCTCTCTCTCTCTTCCTCCCTCTCTCCCTCCCACTCTAAGGATAAATGCAAAAATGTCCTCGGGTGAGGTTTAAAAAAAAAAAGACTGCATATTTAAAACCAGTTAAGATAAAAAACCAAGTGATATGGGCTGTTTAGTTTTCTGGTGGTGGAGCCTGAACCAAATGCTCTTTTCTTTTTTTTTTTTTTTTTTATCCTCACCCGAGGATATTTTTCCATTTTTTGTACAGATAGAGTGGGAGGGAGAGAGAGACAGAAACATCGACGTGAAGGGACA